AATCACCTACTAATCACCTACAAATATGTGTAAAGATGAAACCACATCTATAAATTTTTAAGAAGCTTCTCTATAAGATATTATCAAATTAACTTATTTTTACTTATATCTACCTATTCATATTATCTAGATAACTATAAGTATGTTTATGACATTTACATATCTTGAGAGATATTAGATGTCTTTTTTTATTATATAATCATTATAAAGCTTGCTAAAATTGAAAAATATAAAAGCACAAATATAAGACCAATTGAAGGAATTAATATTTGTAATGCATTATCTCAATTTACCACCACAAGAAACAATAAGATTAGTAAGTAGTGAAGATATAGAGATGATTGGAGCTACTTTTACATCTATACCAAATCATGCTACTCTTCCTATAGTAAAACATCATTTAAACATTAAAAAAATTAAGAATTATCTTATCCGAGAAGTTTGATGGTACACAATTAAAATTTTGAAGATTCATTAATCAAGTACAAGTGACAATTGAACTTCAATTCCAAAGCTATTCAATTTTAAGATCAAGTTGTAGAAAATTTATATTTAAAAAATTACCAAGAATTTTTTACACCATTTAAAATCTCTAACAAGAGCTCCGATCTTCTTTGTGGAGAAAAATAATGGATCCTTGTGGATGTGTGGATTATTAAGGATTTAACGAGATTACTATTAAAAATAGATACCTTCTATATTTTATATTAAGATTCTTTGACCAATTGAATCAAATTAAGATCCATATCAAAATAGATCTACAAGGATCATTCAATCTAATATTCATCAAAGAAGAGAATGAATAGAAGATCACATTTTGAATATAATATCATGCCTTTTGGACTTACAAATGTGCCAACATTTTTTCAATATCTAATAATTAATAAATTTTAAGAAATTTAAATGAATTTATTTATTTTTTATTTATTTAATATTTTAATCTATTTTGAGAGCATAAATTAATATAAATTTTATGCTTGTCTCATATTAAAAAAACTTTAAAATATAAGATTTTGTGTCAAAATAAATAAATAAATTTATATATATATATATATTATACTACTCAAGTTGACTTTTTAGGATATATCATTTTAAATGATGGCCTTATGATGGATCTTAAGAAGGTCCAAACTATCATGGATTGGAAGGTCTCAAAAACAATAAGAAATGTCTATTGAATCTTCATTAAGAATTTTTATTAAATTTTGGTTCCACTTTTACATCTAAGATGTGAAGACAAACTTAAGTAGAACAAAGAAGCTGAAACATCTTTTGAAGCTTTGGAAATAATTTTTATATATATAATAATCTTGTATCATCTTGACTTTTTCAAGATATTTTTTATAGACATAGATGCATCAGACTTTGACTTATGTATTATATTGTCACAAATAGAAGTAGATGATAAATTCTACGTAGTAGTTTTTTATTTCAAGTTATTTTGAGTAATCAAAATCAACTACAAGATCCATGACAAAGAATTTCTTGTAATTCCATTATTTTGAAAGTACTTCAAATCATGTTATCATATATATAGATTATAAGAACCTCAAGTATTTCATATCAAGATATATTTTGAATTGTTGCCAAGTCCATTACAACATATTTTTATCAAGATTTGATTTTAAGATTACTTATTAACAAGAAAAACAACAAGATTTACTAAATGCACTTTTTAGGTGATCTTATCTTGTATCAAAAGAAAGAGATGTAACTTTTGATCAACAATGGACTATTTTCTTAAAGCAAGAGCAATTTCAACTTTGACTAATAAAATTAATATTAATTATTGATTCAACTTTTTTAAAGTAAGTTCAGTCAAGTATGTCCTTTGATCTTCTTATTTGTAATATTAAAAAAAATTCTACAAAATCTCATGATATTTCTAAATTTAAATTTTTTTAAATTTTTTTTTTAAAAAATAATTATATATTTCAAAAGATGAAGCCCAATTACATGTTCTTCAAGCTTATCACAACTTCCCAATAGTAAGACATTTTAGATAGAATAAGACTTTGAAACTAATATCTAGAGATTTTTGGTGATTTTAAACATAAAAGATAGTTAAAGACTTTAGAACTAATATTTAGAGATTTTTGATAGCTTCAAATATAGAAGGTAATTAAAGACTTTGTAAAATCATGTATTATTTATTTAAGATAAAAAACTCCTCATTATGGATTTATTCAACTATTACCTATTCTAAAACAATTGTAGTCTTTTGTATCTATAGATTTTATCATGGATCTTTTAGTCTTAGGTTCTTATAATTTTATATTTGTGATAGTAGATCATTTTTCTAAAATGGCATATTTTGTGCCATATACAAAATCTATCATTGGTAAAGAAACTACTAACTTTTTCTTTTACAACATCCATCACTATTATGGATTATTTATGGATATTTTATTAGATAGATGGACTTAATTTATATGAATATTTTGGAAAATTATCTTTAAGATTCTAAAAGAAGATATAAAGCTATCTTTAGCTTTCTATCTTCAAATTTATGGACAAACAAAGTGTGTAAATCAAGTTTTTGAATAATATTTGAGATGTACCATCAATTATCAATGAGATGATTGGATAATTTTTTTTCTATTGATAAAGTTTGCATATAATAATATAATATATTCATCTACTCAAGAAATACCATTGTTGCAAATTATAATTATTATCCATAAGTTGATATTTTTAATTAAGATGAAGAATCAAACAAATCTTTGTCATAAAAGAAAAGATGTTCAATGAAGATTCCATTCCATCTTCTATCTTTCATTATGATTTGTTTGTATTAGTGGCACCAACAAGATGGAGAGCCAAAAACTTACAAATTCAATTCAAGAATTATAATTTATTGACTAACTAAATGAGACATTGTGATTGTCACAACCTTCAAGATAATGCAATAGATATGAAGACCTTCAAAGATAATATGTTCTTCTTTGAATAGATGGCAAGATAAAATATATTTGGAAGAAAATTTTGATATTTAGTGATTTTATTAGAGATAGAAATAATTCTTCATGGTATTACAAATGTTTTATTTGAAAGAAGTTATAAAGACTTTAATAGTGATCAAATATTACGATGGTCTTTTTATCTTGAAATAGGTCATTATTGGTGGTTGAAAGGACCTATCAATTACTTTGAAAGAGAATAAAGATCAAAGTATATAAAAAATACAATTTGCCACATCTTGGACTTTATCAATATGTAATCATTGCTCCTCATGGAATTTATTTTTAGAAGGGAGGATAATGTTGCAAATTTACATATTTAATCTTATAATTATTTAAATACCATGAATAGATAGAAGTAGATAAAAATAGATTAATTTGATAATATCTTGTAAGAAAGCTTTATAGATGCTATTTCACTTTTATACATATTATAGTGATTGGTAGGTTAGAAACTTGGCTAACAAATTAGTCAAGTATTGTACATATTGATAGTTTGTGGTATAAACTAATCATAATTCTTAGTTAGATAATATGTATGAATGCAAAAGTGAAGCCTTCTTCATATTTGTCAATTCTTTTCTTGCTTTTAGTCTAATTTCAAGGATTTTTAGTTTTCTTGTCTTTTGGCAATAGCTATTCTAGTTTTTTTTGAATATACATACTTTCTTATTTCTATTTTGTCATCTTTCTTTGAAAAAAATCTCACTTGTTTATTTGTCTTTATTGAGTTCTTCTCCTTAATATAAGCCACACATATATCTCAAATTGCTATATGCACATTCAAGGCTTCTACTTAAATGTTTTGCTTATCTTCTAAAAATAAACTCAAAGTTATCTTCTTTTTATTCTTCCTTGTTCTAATAGAAGTTCTATTCCCAATACAAGTCCTAAACTTCCTTCTTCTCTTCTTTATCTTAATGCACGTCCTAGTTTTGGCATAAGTCTCAATCTTCTTCTTCTCTCTTTTGATAATTGCTAATCAAATTAATAAACCAATCAATCAAATATCTCTATTTTTTTTGAATGTATGTGTAGTAATTTGAAGTGTGTGTGTAACAACTTGAAGTATGCATGTAGGTAGAGCGTACAAAATTAATATGTATTAGCTTGTATATATTTTTTAATTTAGTTACAAAAAATAATAATTTTAATTAAATTCAAAAAAATTACAAGATAATAAATGAATGTCAAATTTTTTAAAAATAGAATATATATTTTTTTTCACAAATATTTGAAATTGATTAAAAATTCTTATGTGAATTTTTAATTTTGAGCATTTTTAATTCTACATTTAAAAGCATAGCTAATTTAGATATCATAGATTATTTAGTAATAATTTTTTTAATACATATGACTTAAGAACCTTTTTACAATTGAGATAATTCTTTAATTAAAGAAAAATTTTATGATTTTTCTATTTAGGTTCAAGTAAATGATTTTATGTTCAATCATCTAAATATTTAATAAGTTTAACATTGTCTTTTTTATCAATAAATTACACATTCATGTTTTAATATGATTAGACCAAATTAACACAATAACTAAAATTGATAATGCAAATGTAGTAAAATAACTTGTCTTTGGTGGTAGAAATTTAGTAGATACAACAAAAACATACATAATTATTTTTTTGAAAAAAATTTAAAAGGTACTCAAAGAAAGAGTTATCAAAAGCATAAAAAACTCAACAAAGTTCCAAGACACAACCCTACAGAAGAGTTTCACACAATCCATCTTTGGTAACAAACAGCAACAACGACACAGGCAAACAATCCAAACCAAACTAGTGCGAACTACAAAAAAGCATGCATTCGTTTCGACGACCACAACACAAGCAGAAGCCGACGTGGACGCTGACATGGCAAAGGCGCGCCACGCAAGCAGAAGGCAAGGCGGGAAGATGCCAGAGGCGACTCGACTTATCCATTCGCAGCGCCATTGTAGGGGACCCGGCCGGGCCGGGCAGCGCATGCTCTGGCTGGCCCAATCCCCCCCCCCCGGGCTAAGCTATACCGCAGCGTCCCAGTAACCGCGCCAGGTCTTTTGGCTCGCAGCGTCGCTCGCTCGCTCCCTCCCCATCTCCGTCCCCTTCCCCGTCTTCTTCCTCTTCTGAGTTTTTTTTTTCTCTTTTGTGTGTGTGTGTGTGCGTGCGCAATCGCTTCTGGATTGTGCTTCTGGTGAAGGGTTTTAGTCGCCTGCTTTTGTGCAGTACCGGGTGCAACGCCCGCCACCATGATGGCGTCCCAAGCGCAGGCGCTACGGGGTGACCTCCATCTGAGCAGCGTTGCGTCCGCTTCCTCGTCTGGGATTCCTTCGTTCACTAGCTTGGGGAGAGTTTCTCTGCCTCGTGGACCGGGCAAGTCTCCCTCGCTCGCTCCCGCATCTCGTAGCCGGAGACGATTGACATGTAGGGCTCTGGAAGAACAGCAGAACGCGAAATCCTCGCCGAAGGTTAGCTTGTTTGGGTCGGAGCAGCCGCTCTCTGGGCCGCAGAAGATTCTGGAAGGGTTGCCAGCTCCTGCTCGCTATGTCGGGAGCGCAGTTGTAGTGGCTGGAGCTTTGGCAGCTGGGTACCTGCTGGGTGGTCGTGTGCCCGCTGGGCGGTTCCAAGGGTCCCAGGTTGCTGCCATTGGAGGAGCGGTCGCCGTTGGTGCTCTTGGAGGCGCTACTGTGGTTGCGTTTAATGCTGTGGCTCCGCAGGTTGCAGCCGTGCAGCTGAGAAACAAGCTTGTCAATCACTCTGATCCCATGAGTGTGACCCCTGCCGAAATTGACGAGCTTGCTAAGAAGTATGGTCTTTTTGCTCCTCGTTTTAGGATTCAATACAGCGTGTTCCTCCCGACGGTGAATGAGTTGTCGGAGGATTGCTTTTCGTGAGTTGTGTAGGTTTTGGGAACAGTTTGTTTCTCAAAAAACAAATTCCTTTGAATTTTGCCGTGCTACAGGTGGGTATTTTGGCTGTAGTTTCTTCCTGACTCAGAACTTGGATTTTCTGGGCACCTAGGTGGAGCACCTTGGTGGATAATGCTATCTCTTAGGGTGTGAATTACGGAGTTTATTGTCTGGTTGACTCCTTCTCCGGGTTTTCTCGTTTTTGCGTCCTAGCTTGCGCAGCTCTCTCTCTTTGTCATCTTTAATTTGAACAAAGAAATTAGGATGCACTGTCTCTGGGAAGTGGGTGATTCCCATTTCGCAATGATGAAGCCATTGCGAAGGTTTCATTATCCTTGGGCCATATAGTTTTAATAGTTTGAAACACGTGGGTTTAAGGCTTATCTCCCACCTTTTTCAAACTACGTTCACCATAGTTTAGGTACCTTTCAAAATGGGATAAGATTCAGGTGAGACACCAGTTAGGGAGCCTCAATTTTACTTGGATCATGCTTCTTAAGAACCTAGCCACGACTCTCCACTGGTATAATTGAAAATCTTTTGGGCATCTAATTTTGAACATGCCAAAGAGACCTGATTGCAACGTTATGTTGAATGTTTGCAGGTATGGTGTCAGTAGGCAAGATGAAAGGTTCAATGCTGAGATTCGAGAGTTGTATGCTAGTTACATCACTGGGATAATTCCAGCTGGCAATGAAGATTTGAGGGGAGATGAAGTAGAATCCATTATTGGATTCAAGAACGCCTTAGGCTTGGATGATCCTGATGCTGCTGCAATGCACATTGAGGTACGGTTGTACTCCTGTTAATTTCTGAAGTGGAGAATTTTCGAATATACTGAAACCTTTCTCGGAGAGGTCAGAAACAAATGGATGGCTCGATCTCAGTGAATAGAATTCAATGCGAGTTCATTGGCCGTAATAGTCTGAATCCTCGTACGTGATGATCGTTTTATTACTACGCTTTGATTTTCGGACCTGTTCCTAATCAGAAAAATTTAGTTTATACTATGCAAAATCCCTTCCTATTTTGTATCGTTGCGTGGGCTTCAGCACCCTTCAGTTTAGTTTTTGCACCTTTCAGCTTGGTAGATTAACAACAATGTCACATTTATGCAGGTTGGCAGACGTTTATTCAGGCAACGACTGGAAATTGGTGATCGTGAAGGCGCCGTCGAAGAGCGCAGGGTATTCACCGTTCCCTGTATTTATCTGTTCGCGGATGCTTGGGTTTGAAAGAGCCAGCATGCATTTAGTGTTCGATATACTTTCAAATTTGGTGTAGTACCGAAGTAGCGGGAATTGAATGACCACGCGCGCCAACTGTGAATCTGAATAGGATCACAATACTAGTTATTTTGGCCATTGGTTAACTGTGATTTCCTTGTGTATTCTCTACATACTTAGAAGATGCTTTTAGTACTTTTGTTCAGTTCTCTCTGTTACACTTTCAGACATGCTGAAGATTCCTACTTTGAGTGCTTGCAGACATTCCAAAAGTTGGTATATGTGTCTACTTTGGTATTTGGTGAGGCTTCCAAGTTTCTACTTCCATGGAAGCGTGTTTTTAAAGTCACGGATGCTCAGGTCAATACTCCTACCTCTTCACGCCATTTTTGTCCTGTTTTCTTTAAATGACCCAGACTCTTCAAAGCTGCTTTATTAAAGTAGAAATGGATGCATTCAGGTTGATGTTGCAGTCCGAGATAATGCAACGCGCCTCTTCAACGTACAACTCAGCAGTGTCGGCCCAGGTGGGTTCTTACAGCCACTTTATTTTCAACGAAATGACCAATTTTATTTAAAATATAGGTTTTCTTTGTTGTTTTGAGGGTTGAGTTCCCGTGTACTCTCCTTCCTCTTCTTGTCGAAGATGCCTAGTAGTCGGTATGATGCACATGTTGTTCATTTTTAACAATGCCAGCAATGATATGTTGCAGACTTTGGCGTCCAGCAAATTAAAGACCTAAGAAAGATTCAGCTTAAACTGAAACTCACTGATGAGGTGATCTGCTTCCACCACTTTGACTAGAACATCTGTAATAACATTGTGGAGGTGGATCTCGTCGATAACGCCGATTACTGTGTTTCCCTTGCTGGGTTAATGTCTTCTTTCTGTATTGTGTGGAAGAACTAAGTCAAACTTTTAATTCTCTCATGCTGCTCGTTACGAAACATATAGAGGATAGGAACATCGACCTTCACAACTTTGAAGAGCATATTCGCGGGGGACTCATGTTGGTTATATTGTGTTTCAGGTTACTGCTGAAGTTTTCAGGACTCATGTTCAAAAGCAGCTTGAACAGCACATATCGTCTGCTATGGAAATATTGAAGTCTCGGGCTCGGATCAAGCATGTTCCTGCATCTATTTCACGTTTAGTTTTTGGTGTCTAGTTTATTTAATTTTTATAGTTTTGAGTTATTTGTCCCTGTTTTTGTGTTTTTTCCTTTCGTGATTTCACTTCCTTAAACTCTCATCATGTAGTTAATACTTTTGGTTTATATTAGTTAACTCCACTAAGGTCTCGAAACAAACGACATTCTTATAAATATTCCTTTGACTATTCGGTCTATCACTACTTGTTCCTATGTATTTAAGGATCTTCTTGGTTTTGAAGAATGATATGCAAATCGGTTTCTGAAATACAGAGACACTGCGAAGATAGTCAGCGACTTGGACAACGCACTGGCCTTCAATGCAAAATTGGGCTCTATCGCTTCAGAAGCTGATGCCAATGATCTTCTTCCTGGCATTGGCCCTATTAGTGTTTTAGGTGTGTTCCATCTTTCATGATCCTCGCACCCTTCTAGACATGTGATTGCGCGTTTTGTTTACTTGGTGAGACATCCGAAGTTCTTACATGGTTGGATTTCAGGTGGGCAATTTGAATCCGATCGGGGCATGGATGATCTTAAACAACTGTATCGCATATACTTGACTGAAGCATTTTCTGGTGGCAAATTGGAGGATGATAAGGTACATACACTAGACTTGCAACATAAGAATACGGTTTATGATTATCCTTTATAAACATGTGTCCTGGCGTGAATATTATAAACTGTTGAGCGTTGATGATTCGTGGGTGGCAACTACCTCAAATGACTTAAGACGTGACAACAGCAGGCGCACTCAAGTATGCATTGTATTAGTTAACTTATTAATCAAGAAACGCACTAAAATTCTCGGAATGTGGAACAGGTAGCTGCATTAGGCCAACTGAGAAATATGTTTGGAATGGGCAAACGGGAAGCTGAAGATGTCATGCAAGAAGTTGTCGTAAAGATATACAGACGCATGTTGGCCAAAGCCGTGCAGAGTGGTGACCTTGAGGCTGCACCAAGCAAAGCAATGTTCCTGCAAAATCTTTGTGACACTCTGAAGTTCGATCCCACGAAAGCTAGTGAAGTTCACGAAGGTAACGTCTTCCAGACAACACAAGCTCCATCGTTGATTTGTTTTTTAATTTTTATTTTCTTCCCAGCCGAGAAGTAAGAGTAATACGACATAATATTTTTGATTAAGTTTCTGCACAAAGTTAATTGCGGAATGTATTGATTTGACCGTTCTTTTGTTTACTTTTTTTGATTTTGGTGAATTTTGTTCTTATTAGAGGGACTCCTGGTTGTGCAGAAATTTACCGGAACAAACTTGAGCAGTGTGTAGCGGATGGCAAATTGGATGATGAAGACGTCAAGAATCTGTTGCGGTTGCGTGTATTTTTGTGCATCCCACAAGAAATTGTGGACAATGCCCATGCTGAAATATGCGGACGTATTTTCACCAAGGTATTTATTTGTGGATGTCACTTTTCTGGCACTAAACTGAAGGGGGTTTTCGTGCGGCTTTTGCGTAACATGAGCTTGATGTTCTCCTGAGTTCCGAAATATTCTCAGCTTTCGTGATTTTGGCTTTTTAATTGTTGTCTAAGAAATATGGCGTTCTTCTTGATAATGCAGGTTGTTGACGATGCCATCAGTGCGGGTATCGATGGCTATGATGCTGAGATGAAGTCTGCTGTAAGGGATGCAGCCACTGGCCTACGTCTCACACAAAAGGCTGCTATGGATATCGCAGCTAAAGCGGTGAGTATTTCGCCTTTGCTCATTGCACTTAGTTATGGAATGTTTCGAAGACCAATTCCTCGTCTGGAACACTCAAGTTAAAGGACAGTATCGAATCTGAACCATAGTTTATTTTCTGTTTTGTTTTTCAGATTCTAGCCTAATTATTTGGAACTCCTTGGTTAAGTACACAGTGGTTGGAAATTCATGTGTGTTGGACCTAGCTTGCTTGTAACTGCTCATTGTCTTCAGATAAAAAAAGTTTTCTTTTCTTTTTTTTTTTTTTTTTTTTTTTTTTTTTTTTTTTTTTTTTTTTTTTCCAGCAGCATTGTGTATGGCATGGGGTTTCCCACTTTTTGTATAGTGTGAATGAACCGAATGAGAAAGTCGCAGAGGCTCCTGTCAAGATTGAATTTTAGATCTTATACGTTTTCTCTTGTTTAAGTCTTTTGCTTGGTCATTCCTGAGATCTTCTGACTTTATGTGCCGCTGCAGGTCCGGGGAGTGTTCTTGACTTACGTTAAAAGGTCCAGGAGTGCGGGTAGTCGTGTGGAATCTGCCAGGGAGCTTAAGAAGATGGTCATCTTCAGCAACATAGTAGTTTCAGAGCTTATTGCTGACATTAAGGGAGATACTCCGGCTCCAGAGAAAGAGGAGACCAAGGAAGAAACCAAGAAGGATGAGAAAGAAATTGACCTTGAGGACGAGGAAGACTTTGAGAACATCCAGTCTCTTAAGAAAACTAAGCCTGGAGCTCACCTAGAAGGCCGTATGGAAAAGAAATCGCAAAACGAAATCACGATTAGAGATGAACTTGAATTACGTGAGCGGACGGATCTTTATAGGACTTACTTGATATACTGCCTCTCGGGCGAGACCACTGGAATGCCTATGGGTACTCAAATTGTTACTCAAAGGGATGACACGGAATTTGTTAGGCTTGGTCAATTAGGTCAAATTTTAGGCATGAGTTCTAAGGAGGTTGCGGACGTCCACAAAGGTCTTGCAGAGCAAGCATTCAGCCAACAAGCAAAGGTCAGCTTTCACATTCATCCCTGTAAAATGATTTGTATGAGTGCAAGTTCGAAATAGCATACGAAGCTTGTGCGTATTGCGCTTTATATTCCATCTGTATTTGTTTGGTTTTGGCCAGATGTACTATTTTCGAAGTTTCTATGTTTAGCTACTTTTCAAACATGTATATTATGAATGCAGGTCATATTGGCCGATGGCCAGCTCAGCAAAGCTCGTATGGAACAACTCACGGAACTTCAGAAGCAACTTGGTTTGCCAGCAGAGTCTGCCAAGAAAGTCATCGAGGGTATCACCACAACAAGAATGTCTGGTGCTATTGAGTCTGCTATCAACCAAGGAAGGCTTAACGTTGAAGAAGTGAAAGAACTCAGAGAAGCTGGAGTGGACATTGATGGCATGATTCCCAAGCCTGTGAGACAAAAACTATTCAAAAAGGTGGTCGATAGAACTCTTTCTTCAGGAACTGGGGACTTTGATGAGGCTGAACTTTACGAGAAGATGCCCGCAGAGCTTGGCATCACCACAGACGAAGCGAAGAAGATGACGCTGGATCTTGCTAAAGAAAGACTTTCAAATTCTCTCATTCAAGCAGTTTCACTTCTGCGGCAAAAGAAGCCTGCTGACGTGGTTAGTCTCCAGTCTCTACCCATTCTACAAATTTCTATGAGTTGATGACTTCCAATCTTGGTTATGTATCTGCACTCTGTTTTTACGTAATGAGTAACCAACCCATCAGCTCAACTCCACTTTGAAACCCCTTATGCACGCTGTCACCAAGCAGGAGATGTTACAGTAGCAATTTGAAACCGACCAAAAATGCTATCTTGGAATTTGAAACAGCTTTAGGCATGATATTATTTACCTTAATTTGCTACAGGATTTTTAGTCGCGTCTAATCCGGCGTAATCCTGTGTTTCCAGGTATCCACTTTGAACAACTTGCTGGCATGCGACAAGGTGTCCCCATCACCTGCTCTGTCCTGGGCAGTCAAGGACGAACTGCTGGATCTCTTCTGTATATACGTGAAAGAGCCTCAGTCAGAAGATAAGGTGTCTAGGTTACGAGAGCTCCTCGGTATTGATGAGTCCCAAGCAAAGAGCCTACAGGAGATGGTGTCAACTAAAGGATTCTCACTTGGTCTAGAGGAGGAAGAGTTCAGCTTTTAGGTGAGTAGTTGAGGACATCTGCTTCTGGTTACCCATGTGGCAGATAGGGGACAGAACCGGAGGAGGTTCCAGTAGATTGAGTTTAGCGTAACAAATTTTCAGGAACACGGCACAAACTTCCACGGTTACTAGAATTTTGAAGAATATGAAGGTTTTATTGAGCACTTTGTGGCTTCTTCAGGTGAACGGAAGTGAGTTACTGTATTACGTATTCGTTCCAATTTGCACCTTGTCTTGGGCATTTGAAGACAATGTATTTTTGAATATTTTGTTACACAGCTTTAAATATTCAATGGTTTCGATAATTTTAAAGTTTTGCTGCAAAATATGTGTTGAATGATGCTCCCGACATTGAATGTTGCTTTTGATTTTGAATTATGCTTTTTATATGGAAATATGGCTTAAGGTTGTCGACTTTTCAGAAATGTATCTTTAATTTCTCTCATAATAAATTAGAAGTTAAAAAAGATCTATATGAAGACTACTATTTTTGAATGTTGGAAGTGTTATGCCTATTTATAATAATTGGAATCAAGTTCTTAGATGTGAAAGATTAGAAAATTTAAAAATCTTGTAATACAAGGATTTATTTAGTGAACTTCATTAACTTCTTTTAGTGTTAAATAATGATGAGAATTATTAAATAAATCTTTTATTTTTTAGAAATCTTAAGCATGAAGTGAAGCATTACTATTAGAATCGTTGTGTCTATTTATAAATGAAAGAGCTTGATTCTACTAAAGAAACCTAGTCCTAGCAAAGTAAAAGAAATTTGGATTGTATGAACAAATGAATAATATTATGAATGTCCAAATTTTACTAATTTAGTTTTATTTTTTGGACATTATATTCTACTTATGTTTGGTGGTCAATACCTATTCAAAGTTAGGTCATCATTTTCTAAGATTATTACATTTGAAGTATTTTAGCCTATAGCATAGGAATTATTGCATATTTGATTAGCTCAGTCATACTGCTTCTAAAATCTATTTAGCTAGGAGAGATTTAGTTGTATCTTTAGGATTAGTAATTTTTAATCATCTCTTTTTTTTAGAATTGTAGCCAATTGAACATATAAGTATGGATAAATTCAACATTTGTATATTCTTCTACAAAACATTTAAGACCACAAATTCAATTCTGCAAATGACTTTTTAAGATATCAATCTATATAACATGAAAAAAAAAAAATATATATATATATATATATATATATATACATATATTTTCTAACAATAAGCTTTTTTTGAAGTACCTTGAATTTTTTAGAATACCAATACCCAAGTTTATATGTAAATCTATTAATTAAAATTTGTTAATATCTTGTATATGTAATGATAATCCCAAAAATATGATTAGTTGTTATTTGAATTATTACAAAAAGTCTATGTCTAGCTAAAGTTCTCAATCTATAAGGATCTTAATCTTTTATTATATGACCAATATGCTCAGTCCAATTGATTTCTTATCTTAAAGCTAAGCTAAATTCTTGAAAAAAATTAGTTAAAGCATGTATGCTGAATTTTTTTAATATATCTTAGGCAACTTTTAAACTGGCTTGCATAATTTGGTTTTGAAATTTTCTTAGAACTTGTTATGTGCCTCCACTACCATATGTTAAAGTTCCATAATCTGTTTTCACTTTTAAAATTATTGATTTTTATTTAAAAAAATATTAAAAATTAAAAAATTATTCTCATTACACTTAAGAAAAAAAGAAAAAAGAAAATAGCAAGAGCCTATATAGCTTGAACTTTTTTTTTAATTTGAAATAAAATACATTTATTTTTTAATAATATTTTAATATTACTATTAATAATACTATTTTAATATTAGATTGTATAAGTTTTATCTAACTAGATAAAAACAAGAATTCTATCTTTATAGTTATTCCAAGTATATTTTAGATTGTTACCAAGGTTAAAGAAATGAGCTTTTAAAGATTTTTTTATGGCTTCTATATTATATGCTAAAATTCTCTACAATAGAAAAATTTATTAAAAGTATTCTTAATTATATTCTAATTTCTACATATAATCCAAGTAATATCACTAAAGAGTGCTTTTGATAGATCATGCCATGTTATACTTCAATGTTGACATTTTTTAGATTCATAAAAAATTACTAAATCAAGAGACTTGTCTAAAATATTTTTAAATATTATCCATAACATTATGTTATCTAACAAAGAATCTACTAGCTTCTAAATATTTTTTAAGAATAAAATAAAAATATAGATTCTTCTATATCCTTCTCCATTTGAATTCTTTATATAGATGAGGGTTGCTTTAAGCATTAAAAAAACTAACAATTGATCAAAGTATATTTTCTAATTCTTTAATCCTTATATTTCTTAATCTATAATTTTAAATAAAATAATATTTTACTCAAAGAAATTCTATAAATGTGGATTTTTAACTTAAGAATCTCCTGTGGATCATTTGAAATGCATAAATTATAAGAAAATATGCTTTATTTCATCTAGTATCTTAGATGGAAGAAAAACCATTGATATTTCTAAGATAATGATAAATTGGACAAAATGCTTCTATTATAAGATATTTTCTTTTTATCACTTTTAAAAATGAACATTATATAAAATCTTTAAATTCAATATATATATTTTTAAAATAAAATCATGGCTGTTTTTGGTAGTAACCAGAAGACTTTATTTAAAGAGTGAAAATAATATATAACATTGTATTTGCATCCTTCTTTTATAATATAGATACAGATTGGATTTGCCTTCAAAGCACAATGTACTGGAAACCACCATAACATCTTATTATAGCCTTGATGTATCCTACTTCTTAACTTATAATTTAAAGATATATACTTATGACTTCTAAGACTATTGCATTTGATCTTACAATTTAATACCAAAAATTTAATATTATTTTTGAGAAACTATAATTTAAATAAAAATGTAGTCATTATCATGAATTTGACAAGTTATAAGAAAAAAAGAAGATCAATTTTTTGTTGAAATGTTTTTAGGAGATTAAAATTACTTCCTGTGTTGTATATATATTTGTTTAGATGATATAGATCTCTTATCAGTACAATCAAAAAGGCTTTAAAGCTGAAATATCAAAAATGAAATAAAATAAAATAAATCACTTAAATCAAAATTTAGTAGGTAAGATGGGAATTTAATTTGGTGAAAGTAGGCAATTAATTCATTATAGTATACTAGCCCAACTTAATTTTATTAAACTTAAATAATAATTATGAGTTATGTATTGTTTATCTAAGTTCACATGAAGTAAAAGAGAGATTCAATATCTTATGAAGACAATAACAACCTAGATCAATAATCCATAATATAGTGACAAAGTCTCATCAATATCTCATTTTTAATCTATTTTTTTAATATTGCCTTCTCATCTTTTCACCTTTTGAGAATCACACTAAGGTTTATATTATTATCTATGTTTATTTGTAAATTCTTTAATCGTATTTGATCATCATATTAAAATCACAAGATTGCTTCATTTGATGAACTTCTTTTTTACATCATCACTAGCAAATGAAAAGAATCCAAAATTCAAGAAGGGAATAATGAATCTTACTTTAGTATCAAATGAGGGCTTAAAATAGGATTATTGGTAGTCTCTATTGATGATTTTAGTTCTTTATAATTAAAGCAAGTTATTTTTAATTGATTGTCAATCAAGTACTAGCTATGCAAAGGTTGGTCAATTCTTTTTTTGTGATTTTGTAATGTTTAGATCAACATTGGGATTATTTCATATTTTTCTTTTTTCTTTTTTAAAATTTTTCAAAAATCCAAAACGATTTTTTTACTATTATTTATAAAATTAGATAGAATTATATCTAGCCTTTTTTTATAACAAATATCTATATTACATAAATAAAAAAAAATATGAATAGAAATAGAAATAGAAAGAAGTAGATTAAAAAGAGAAAACCCTTTTTCATGAAGCTTCAAAGGAGTTTCTTAGATATAGATTAGAAATTTAGACTTTTATGGATATATCACATGGCTATTAAATCTTGTCCTATACGTTTCTTGCTTTGAGAAGGTCATATTGGAAGAAATCCACAACTTGAGGCTTGAATCACAAGCCTTACAATCCTTATGAAACTTTTATGAGGTCTTTTGAATACTTAGTATATAGGAAGACAACATTGAGACCATCCTCAATCTTATTAATGCCTTTTTTATGTTATAATCTTGATTAAGGACTCTTTATTTTTTTTATATTTAAGAATATCCATTCTATTTTATTTCTTCAATCATTAAACTTTGATTTATCTCTTAATTATATTTTTTTTCTTTCAATGATGTAAGAATATATTTTTTCTTCATAAAATTCTTGTCATTTATAACTTTGGTAATTTAATAAGACTACTAACTTTTTTAATTTTTTAATTTTAGAATTAAATAAATTATTTCAAATCTTAAGAAAAATTATTGCTTTCAAAATATTATAAATTATCCACTCTTAAGTTAGTTCTTTATTTTCTAACATTGATTTTTTACTTTAAATAAAGAAAAATAATTTTAATTTGTGAAAAAAATTATTTGACATTAGAAGTTGCAAGCTACCTTCTTCTAATTTGACTTGTATTTTTTTAGTCTTGGTTATTTTTTAGATAAAAAATTTAAATAAATAAATAAATAAATATATATATATATATATATATATATATGAGTATTATATTTAGTATAAAGAAGAATAGATTTATAGCTATTATAAATCTTTACAAGCTTTAGCATACCATTTAAGTATAAATTCCACAAATTAATAATCTCAACCATAAAAGCACTATTGTCATGCATACAAAGGAAGTCTATAATGAATTTTAATGATTATACTTAGAGATTGTGCAATTAAAAGAAACAATTATAAGTAGATCAACTTTAGATATAAATTCTAAAAATCTTCATACTATAAGTATAAAAGAGCCAAAGATTACTATGCCAAAGAATTTTGATTAAATATTATTAATATTTTATATATTTATAAAATAAATAAATTTATTTTTAAAATTACATCTTTTCTAATTCATCAATGGAATCATTTAAGTAGGATTTATTGATATTCTTTAATTTGGAAGTTTTTTTTTAGTTTGAACTTTTGATACAAAAAAAGTTACAACTTATTTGTAATTTAAAATTATTTTTAGAAGTATTTACAAACATATTTTTAAAAAGCAACCAAAAAAAGTTAATAGAAATTTTAAAAATTGTATTTTTGCTATAGAGGTCATGTTTGGCTACTCTCTATGTTGTTAACTTTTAATAAATTACTTGCAATATATATTGAAACAATAAGGCTTTTATTATTTAATTTTAATATGATTTAAAATAAAATGTCTAAGATCTATTTTTTACAATGTCAGAAGCAAAGTTATTAGAATAATTTATTTCTCAAATAATTACATGCAATAGTCAACTTTTTGAAAAGAGCTAAAAATAAAGATTTTCTTGAAGAAAAAAAATCAAATAATAACAACTTTAAAACCACAAAAGACTCTATTCTTTAAGGATAAAATGTATGTAAATTTATATAGCTCAATTTAAGGAATTAAAAAAATATATAAAAATAAATAAAAATAGATACCACCATCAAAACTTATGATTATATTGTCAAAAAGTAGGTCATAAGGTATAAGATTTTTATATCAATTCAACTAGATTCAAAGCAAGGAGTACAAACTCAAATATGAAGAAGTTAAAAAATAAAGATATCTAATTGTATTATGAATCTTACTATTAAAAAAATTTAGACTATAACCATGAATTATAAGTATCATGCTACCAAAAAAATCCTACATCTTATTTTAAACTTCTTCTAGTTCTTAAAATTTCAAATTGTGAATTTTTAACTCAAGTGCTTTTAGACATACTTTTCATCTCAACATACTTTATAAATAATGACTTTTTATTGCAACAAAAATTGATACTCTCAAAGAAAATATGATTGGTTTTAATAGGGGTGATTGATAGACAAGCACTTACATGCAAAGATGTAACAAAAAAAACCAAATTGTAGAAAGTAGCATTAAAAGATCAAGTATCCAACATTGTCTACAATATCATTTAATATCCTTTAAATCTAATAATACTTGATCTTTGTTAATTTAAATTACATAATGCTTCTTTTGACTAAAAATTATAAAAAAAATCACTTTAAGATCTAATCTAAATAATTGCAAACCATCTTGATATTTATTTTTTGGAACCAAGATATTTATGCTAATTATAAAAATATTTGATTTTTTTTTATTTAAAAAATACTAAATCTTTATTCAAAAAATATTTATAGTAAAATTATAAAAAAAATAAAAGATATTAAAATATATTTGTGAAAATAATACTCATATATTGTTTAAAAACTTCAACCTTATGATTGTATAATAATTCTTTAAGAAAGAGCTCAACCATCATTTTGAACCAATTTACAACTTGTTGAAAAATGAACTTGTTGCTTTAAAAGAATACAATAATAATAATCATGCAAAGAATTTTATCCAATATTTGAATTCTCTTTAAGGTGCATCAATTGTCTTTGTGAAGAAAAAAGATAGATCTTTGCAAATGTATATAGACAAATGTGAACCCAATACATTTATCATCAAAAATTAATAACTTTTGTTTTTGATATTGAGGCTTTTTATTCAATTGAGTGAAGTTAAGATCTATACTAAAATAGACCTATAAGGAGCCTAGAATTTGATATGTATTAAAAACAAAGATAAATAGAAGACTATATTTTAAACTAAATATGGTCATTTTGAATATAATATCATGTCTTTTGAACTTACAAGTATTCTAGTTGATTTCTAAAATCTTATAAATGATATATTTTGTGAATTTTTAGATAATTTATTATGCATTATTTAGATAAAATTTTGATTTATTGCAAGAATATTGAAGAATATGAACAACATATTTGCCTTATACTAAAAAAACTTAGAGATGCATAATTATACATATAGATAGATAAATGTGTATTTTACATAATATAAGAGAATTTTCTTACATATATTATCTCAATTCTTAGTTTGCAAATAGAACTTGAAAATATACAAACTATTTTAAATTCTAAAAAATTTTAAAAAATGCATGATGTTTAATTTTTTTTGGATTTACAAACTATTATTGAAAACTTAACAAGAACTTACTCAAAGTTATTAATCTACTTATATAATTAAATTTCAAACAAAAATTTAAATAGAATAAAGATTTAGAAAAATATGAAAGTCAATGGCCAACTATTGATAAAAAGATGATACAAATAAAGAAAATAAAATCAAGAATAAACTTATAGAACTTCTTTGCAACATGGAGAATTAATAGCCTATAGGTTTATTTTAAAATTTTCATTTGTAATTGTTGGATGAAGCACTTAGGTTTTTTCAATAGAAACAGTGTTGAAATTGTAACAAAGACCTCAAGAGAAACACGCCCTTTATTAAATAGATGGCAAGATATGATGTGTTTAGTACTACAATCTTAATAGAAACTCTCAAAGATTAGTGATACTATTGAAGGTGGATACTACACCTAATAGTGTACACAATGTGTTATTCGAAGGTATTTATGGAGGCCTCAAAATTAATCATACAATTGGATTGTTTTGTAGCTTTAATATGTGACTATATTAATAGCTGGAGGAACCTATCAACTACCTTTGTAGAGAATGTATATCAAAGTTTGTTGCTAATATCATTCAACAAATCTTGCACTACAATAATTTATGAAGCAATTTAATTACTTGTGAAACTTATTCTTTAGAAGAAGAAAGAATATATTAGTTTATATCCTATTATAACTATTCTATTAAGTTATTTTTTATATTTGGCTACTTTATAGGTTGTATATAGAAATCTACTATGTTCTAGTTTATTATTATTTAGATTTCTTTTTGTGAGAACATTGATATCATTAGAAAGATGGGAGAAAAATTATTATAAATACATTGTTTTGTACTATATGTTTCCATATTAGTATCTTTCTATCAAGACAATTGATTTATTTGTGTGGTTATCATAGCATTTATTAATGTTTTATTGGCCTCCTTTGATGCACTACTCTTAAATTATGTTACACATGTTGTTACTTATCTTTTTAATTCTATATGATTTAGAAGTATGGCCCTATTTTAATTCTCTTCTTTAGATAATGGCTTTTGTTGGTTAGAATAAGAAATAACAAAGATGTCTTTGTTGTTTTCTTTTGTAGGATCAATGTATCAATATGTATAATTTTAATATCTAAAAATACTATAGCATGACTAAATGAATATCTATCATTTCCAATTAAAGCCACTTTATTCTCTATTTGTATTGAGTCTAAGTTAGTATTGAATATTTCACTATTCTTCTCAATTCTAGAAATAGTATTTATTAGAGCATCTTTTCTACTTCAATATTACATTCAATTGTTTTTGAGAGGCTTTTTCTTTTTGATTCCAAACTAGAGTGAATCCATCTTTATTAGCAAATGTTCTTCTTTATTGATTATATGTGACCTGTTTGCTATGCTCTTAATTTGGTCTCCTTGCTTCTTTGTGTATGTATTTCTATTCAATCTTCATTGATCCATATTGAAGTATTTTCTTCTAGATCCCTAAAAAGTAGATAGAGACATTCATTATTTAATTCAATATTATATTTCAAAGAAAAAACAACATTTAATTGGCAAATGATTATAACTAATTTGGATTGTTTTCTTTTGCTATGTAATGGTATTGGCAACCAACACTTAAAGCTTTCAACCAACACCCAGCTAAACTACAATACAATATCAATCTTCTAATAATTTAATATCATCTTTGAAGTCTTCAATAATTACATTCCTAAGCTTGGCTACATTGTGCACAACAATTGGTTTAAACTCTTCCAATAAATACCTTAGAAAAATTTAAGTTGAAATACAAAGAGCACCAAAACCAAAAAAAATGTCTCTAAATTCACACTACCTTGGATTTAAATAATGGATTCCATGGTTAAAATGTGCAAATTTCCAAACAGGATTGAGATAAAGATATAATTTGAATTTGACAAATTATTTCTTTTAGTTCTGTCTATAGATAGAAAATATATTTGCCAATAATTCTAGTGATTGATAACTGCCTCCAAGCATTGTAACCACTTTTCAAGAGCTTTTGTAGTTCATATGTTGTTGACAAAGTAAACAAGATTAACATGTTTTTGCATCTATAGAGTTTTTATAGTCACAATATTGGATTTCACCATAAATTTGGAGTAAATTTTTCTAGGCTTTATATGTGCTTGGATCCCTCCTTGGATTGAAATATTCCCACATACAATTCCACCATGCTGCAACATTTTACAGTTTCAATCTGGGACAACTGCAGCCCAATTGAGTACTTTGAGTCTTATGTTCAGAAGGAGAATTTTCTTAATTTACTTCCCGCTTGGTGCATCTGATAAGACTGGAAGACTATGACCCAGCACATACATGAAATCAAGATGATTTTGACCCTGCACTTTTTGGTTGATGTACATGGTAAGCAGAATATCCAAAGCTTACCATGAGTCATTGACTTGCCTTGGTCCCATCGGCTGCAATGCCTCGGTGAATGAGAAGTCTAGATAATTTTTTAAGATGTATCCAATCAACACAAACTTCAAAATACGAACAAGTAGAAAATCCAAATCCAAGGAACACAAATAATCATGAGGGGGGAGAAGCTTTTAGTTCAAACCAATAGAAAAATCTAGCCAGTCAAATGGGCACATTGACCGGGAGTGTTTTCAAACAAAGGGCTCATTGTCGAGGAGACTAAATTTCTATCCACTTGGGATACATGACCTGAGACACATGCTTGAAAACATCCCTTCTGCAACACTCAAGATTGAATTTGTCTATTTTTCCTGATGTATCTTGGTTTCAAGGAAAACTAAGGTTTCATTTTCGACAGCAGCCTTGTGAGTACGAAACTGCTGCTTGAAAATTATGCGACCTAGTAGCGACTTTGTTCTCGTCCACGCCCTGGTCCTCCGGCTCCGCTACGACCATCAAGGGCTGAGAACCCATTCTGCGAAGAGCCTACGGTCACTATTGTATGAGTCGTAGTCTGCCGCTGCATGATAGTTACACCTCGACCAGGCATGGGTCCATTCGAAGGACCAGGGGCCTGGGCAGCGTTACCTCCGAAATGAGGATTCCCCCCCCTACCCATAAAACCAGCTCTTCCATGAACAGGAGGAGCTCTGGGTCCAACTTGATGTGGATTGTGTGGTTGGGAGACCTGCCTGAGCACATGTTGACGTTGCCTATCACTAACTGAGTATCCGGCTCCATTAAAATTACCTTGCCCCCTTGGACCGTAACCAAAACCTTGATGAGATTTTGCTCCTGCAGCAGCTGAATTAAAAGGGCCCTGTTCTTGTCCTGGGGGCCCAGCAGGTCTAGGGGGACCTGCCGGCCTGTACTGATTACTTGTTGAGGGATTTAGGGAGTTCCCTCTCTTATCGTAAACTTGCTGCCGTTGCATCATCTGCATAGCTCCACCAGTAGTATTGGAGCGATTTCCAAGACTGTTTACTATAAGACGATGAGCTGCAGCACCTAACTCCAATCCACCGAGAGCTCCTTGAACCGGTGGCCTGCATACAGTTAGAAGGTGAGATCTCTACAAAAAAAACTTTCAATAAATATGGCTCCCTAACTAACACTGTAAAAGCCTTGCATATCCTTGACATTTTGCATCATATCACTTACTACACTGTTAACTTATGTAAACAAATGTACCTTTCTTGAACAGTTTGCCTTTGCCCATGATCTTCATGCCACAAGGGCTGTAGCTTTACATCCTGTTCCGTAATGGTCTGCATTTGAACAATCACATCACATCATTGAAACGGATCCCATGAAGAATAAAACTGTAAATAAAGCTTGGAAACCAAAGGTAAGGAGATCCCAAAGACACCAGTGGGTCATTTGCAAGGATACCAACAGAAATAAATTAACGAGATGAAGTTCCAATCATACCTTTTTGGGGAAAACAACACCTATTGGAGGTTTAGCGATGTGTCTATGTGGGAGAGGACTTCTGAATACAACGGTCCTGAAATAAGAGGAAAATTAAAAACCAACTTCAGTATACCATATTATGTTCTATGGTTTCTACTTCAACATTTGAACTATAGATTAAATTAGCCAGGTAAGCCAATCATACAACCATTAAACCTTGGTAAATCAAATTTAGTGAACATCAAAATGCTAAATTGGTTAATAAGCTACAGAATAACCTTTCCATCGATTAATATTGATAAAAAAATCGATGCGTTAGGAGATAAGACTGGATCTAAAAAGAAATTCCACAGCAGTTTCTTACACCTTCACATGTACACAAGAGAGTAATCATTTAAATGAGGTGAACACTTACAATGCTTCATTATTGGTGATATGCAGCATGTCCTTCACAGGTGATCTGATTACAGATGGACAACACTCTTCTTCACACAAATGAAGATATCCGTTCATTCCGCCACTGCACGCACCCACATCAGCCGTTCAGATTCATCCTAAAAAATAGAATCTAAAGACCCTTAAGCATGAAGAATTAAAAAAGACTAGAAATATCCTGAAAGACAGTGAAGTACCAAACCGATCTTCTGGACATTGTTCAGATTCAAGATTAAGTAGTACCTGGCTACAGGATCGATTCCTTCAGTGACTTCAAACCGGTGAGGAGGTTGAAGATGTGCGTAGCGTTCATAAAATGATTTTACAAGAGTAGCAAGAGGGTGACTTAGCGAAATAAACAACAAATCTGATAGTATGCTATTCCGACGTTGCTCTGCTGGCTGCACCAAACACACCAAACATAACTTGCCACGATTAATTCACGAGACTGATGCTTTACAAAATATATCAATTACACATTCTGCATATTATGTGTGTTACTTTAATATGTAAGATTGACACTAACAGCCATCGACAAGAAAACATAAAGCAACATAACCAATAATTGTAAATAAAGACGAACCGTCAGTGTATGTTCTACTAACTCGATTGCTGAGAGCAAACGGTCCTCCTCAATAAAAGGCAGTTTCGCTATTCCCTGTCAAGCAAATGATATCATAAATAAGACAAGTCCCTCACTAGACGTTAATATCGCCAACATCATAATACAAAATCCGAACTGGCAGAGACATGATAGGAAAGGTACAAATACACAAGAAAATGTATTAACATACCTGCCAAGAAAATCGTTTACCGTTCATGTCAACTTCAAAATCTGCGGCGCAACCGTTCTGAACGGCTAAGTTTTTCAAAAATTTACAATTTGAAACCCAACACGAATGAAGTAATCTACTCAATAGATGCCAAATGGAATGAGCTGAACCAGTTTCAATTGGACAAATCAGTACCTCTTGGATAAAAATCAACAATCGGGGAGTTCAAATCTGTCATCAGCGGCCTATAATGTATTGGCAAAGCCTCCGCACTGCATATGCACAGTAAACACACAAAATGTTATCATACCACTCAAAAGAATCACATCGAATACGGAGGAAAGCACCGTCTAAAAGTGTGAGCATAAACAGGCAAAACTGGAGGCAAATAACTGCGCAATTGAAACATCGTTGACAGATGATACAAGACAGCATGCAAACTCAGATTGAACTACTTTTAGACATTGTGAAGTTAGGACACAGACGAGACAGCATTAAAGAAAAGACCTTGCGGCTGGCAGCACCCCCATTAGCTGGTCGAACGGTTTGAAAGGCTTTCCGATGAAGAAAGTAATTTCCAGTTGGTCCAAATCCTTCAGATCCGATGCAAAAGGAGCATAATGATAGGGATAGTACCTGCACAAATCGTCAGTAAATACACGAAGAACTAAAGCGTCTACTTGACAATTTGATGTTAAAAAAAAACACAACAGATAAAAAACTTTACATAATTGCCTAAGGCAACCCAGACCCATCTCATTGTCTCAATATGAGTAAATCAGCCAATCTATGATCTGAAGTGTAGGAATATACTGACCAATTCCACGAACAAACACCTTGGAAATAGTAGCGCATAACCCAGCACAACCCCTCTGTGTATTTGAGAACCTAAACAAAAGGTATGTCAGTATAAACGAATACCACATGATGAGACGTGCAAGCAAAGGCAGTCTTCATGATCTACGTAGTGAGGGGAATATGCAACATGTCGAAAAAGAGTTCAGTTAAAAAAAAATGGATTTGTGTGTACTGTGGTATGCTCATATCCTAATACTAGTGGAGAGACTTTTAAATTAGAATGGAAAAGATACACCAACATCAAAAATCTCTCGCCATGTTTTACGCATTAACTCCTATGTGGCTATCACGTAAAAAATACAATAATACAAAAACAAGACAAGGTACGTGAGACTAGCGTTAAAAAGTTTTTGTACATTCATACTAAATAAGAGGTATTGCTAAAGGAACATTAGATTATAAACATACCACATCTTGTTGGATCCTCTCTATCTCATCTGGAGAGTTCGCCGAAAACTTATCCTCGTAATACCTCTCCTTCCAGCCGGGTTCACCTAAGCGAACAGTGTCTTCAATCTCCCCGCCTCCATTGGTAACATCTGCCTTATCTCGCATTGCGTTTTTCAGTCTCATCTTCAGCTCATCCAAGTTATCCTCCTCATCTTGTTCCTAAGTGAAGAGTAGAAAGATAAAAATGGTCATTAGTGAGCATAACTCAAGATTTACTCTTTTTATAAAGGATAATGTACTCTTTTAAAACGATCGCTAAATTCCTCCATGTAACGAGTTGAAACAAGATTAGAAGTCTAAAATAGACTTCACTGTGCTACCGTTTAATGACTTCCATACTTAAACTTACAGGGAAAAGTACACTAGGATCAACATTAGGCTCTGCATCATCCCCTCTTGGTTTATGCCTGTCTTTATATTGCTGATCACGCTTTCGACGTTCCGCTTGCCTCTGTTCAAAAAATAGAAAACAAAAGAGAATAAAAATACAAAGATAACCAGAATGTCAAGAAATAGAAATCATGTCTTGATTACTCAATGATGATATTTACAATGGTCACTTATATATGACATCGGGCACATAGTAGCATGTACTATCGTCCATTGATAAGTACTGTCCCCAGACGCATTCTTTATGATTATTAGTCTTTGCTACTCTACCAGAAGTAACAAAAATTGTCAGGTGACCCCACCCCCAAATCCAGTATTTTGATCAAAGTCTATTCCTCTTCAGTGATTCTTAATAAAATTAGAAGACTGAGTGGATAGAGATGGAGAAGTGAATGTGGATTTAAAAACAAGTCTGCCCAAATTCCTTCAGCGTTGATTTTCGACGAGGCAACAATTAAATTTTACTATTCATAAAACATAAAATCACCCCCTCTGACTTCGAAATTATCCGCTCTAAATGATGATATAACTACCCCAAATCCCACGAGCATTAACATTAAATACATTTACAGCTATTCAATGTAGACACATATAAAAGTAAGTTCTCACTGAAAGTTACTTAGAGCAGATGTTGGTTTTATGTACTATAATATTTAACAAGGAACAGTTGTGTTGTGCATACCAGTTGTAATCATCACTGATGCAAACCATATCAGAATACATTCCAAGTAAACTACTAAGTCAAACCTGAATTATGCGTGCTCTTTTCATGAAGATGGAGTCCTCTTGAGCTCCAATGGTTTGGATGAACAGTTCAACCCGATGTAAATTCACCTACAATAAATAAGCTAAGTCCTATGAAGCATAAATGCCTGAAAATTTTCACATTTTAGGGTAAGATGTCACAAGGATACTCTCATCTGGTACGTACCAAATGGCAAACTAAACATGAAAAGAAAAAAACTATTCAGGTTGACTGTAACTAACCTCGCCATTGTCAGTCAGATAGCCTCCCATCTGCCTGAAAACCTTCTTGTACATGGCCATGAGCAGGTTGATAGCCCCCTATAATTGTAATATTGAATTGTAAGGTCATCGTTTGTTAATGAGATGGACTTAACAGAACTTATGAACACAATTCTGACAAAAAAAGAACAAGGGTCCCTCTTTCATAAACTGCCTACAATAACATGTCATTAAAGATTCTTGCCATAAATAAAGTGGATGATAATTCAGCACGTATCGGCCTGCTTAGCTCCTACGCTAATGATTTGAGCACCACTGTCAGGAGGGTTATAAAAAAATTCCAAGTTATTGTGATGATTTCAAAACATACCTCTCGTATTTCTAAAGTGGGCATGTGCGGGAGGAAATCGTTGCCAACGAAGAAACACATAAATATAAAATCGTCAATGAGCCGCTCAAAGTCGACTTCAAAGGGTGAATCATATATCTTTAGATCAAATTCCAGGTATTCTCGCAATAGCCATATGTGTAGAAGCTGCCAGGCAACACATGCTCAAAAGATGAAGGATGCAACTAAGGTAATATACAGTGCGAAATGAGACTTAACCACAGCAGTGGGAGAAGATCTGGCAAAAGGCAACTCTCTCAATTACCTGAAAAGGTTTTCGAGGTCCAGTATCCAGTTCACCACCCTTCTCATCGTGCTCCCCTCTTTTTCTCTTAGGTTTTCCTTCACATTCGGCGGCTAAATGGCCTGTCTGTCCGCACAGAAAACACTTTTCTGCATGATTTGGGGCAAACACAACCTACAAATACAATCCACCAGAACAAACATTAGAGCTCGGCAAAACCATATAAACTCCACATTCAGCCTGAATCACAAAAAGCAGGAAAACATCTTTTAACACGTGTCCTAAATCATGCAAACTTATTGAAAAGTTCAAACGGTAGAATCAGAAGATAAGTCACAAATACCTCTCTTAAGATTGAAAAATGGGGCTCATGAGTGGCCAAAGCAAGCATGATCAAATCTGCATCCTACACAGACAAAGTAAGTTCAATTTGCAAACACGTGAGCTCACTGTGTTATTCTTTCCCCTTATAAAGAGGAGCCTTTGAGAGATTGAAACGAAATCAACACCACTACAGAGAGAACTGAATAGATATGTGACCAAAAGATACCAATAACAATAACAAAACATAATCCCTTCACTTTGAAAATAATACGTGCAAATACATGCATTAAAACAACTACCGCGGCTATTTTAATAAGGCAAAGTAGAATCGCTGGTTCAGATACCAGTAAGTAAAGGCCAATGAGTTTCGCGTCACAACAGAAATCAAAGAGGGAGAAGCAGAAACGTACCAAACCATAAAGGCAATGTCTAGTATTTGGATCAAAACCGGGTAGATTTCTCTGGAGTCGTATGTAAGACATGATTTTGTGTTCACCTTCCCCAGGAACATTTGAATCTGACAGAATTACCTATCACAACGACGAGTGGTAAGGAACATCAAGTCGAGAAATTTCCGTATCTGACTGGACTGAGCCTAACAAGCAATTAAAGCACTATCAAATATATGAAGAAATTGCTAACACGCCTGATTCACTGGACAGAACACGTATGCAAAAATCCAGTAAGATTACATCAATTGCATCTCAGATAGGAACTTACCTTGAGATTACGCCAACCTGGGTCGTTGTTAAGGCGCAAGTGGATGTAGTAATGCAAGGCAGTAGCAAGACTTGCCATAAATGGTGTTCCAGGTGTAATCACATTAGAATCGAAAGGAGCAGATTTCTCCTTCGCAGAAATAATCCGTCCTTCAGCTTCAAACTCCCTTCGTAACCTCTCTTCTTCTGCTCTCTGCAGCTCTCACCAGCCAAAAATTAGAGTTGCAAAATATCCAGAGATTTTGCAATGCTACAATTGAGCGTGCATGTAAACTCCAGTCGCATTTATAGAGGACGAGTGTAGGAACAGATCAATCTCCAATGACGGTGGACAAATGAACTTAGAAGCATCAGTAACAACCCGACCACAAAACACTCCAACCAATCGAAGCTCCTTGGCTGGAATACACATATATGAAGTCCCAGAAAGAAGAGCATCCAATCATAATGAGTGTGATAGATTAACAACAGCAATCGTATAACGCCTAAGCAAAATAGAAGCACATTATACCGCATCAGCAGCGTCTTTAGCAGCCCTGAACCGCCGTGACCGTTGTTGATTCATTTTGGCCCGTGGTGCCACACCATCTGTAGAACACAAGTATTCTAGCGTCACTCAAAAACTTTAAAACACTAGGAATCGCCTACTGAAAACGCGAGATACATATGAAATCCAAGCCAACAATACAGAGAAATCGATTTTTGGCTGATATTGACCTTGCAGTAGCGTTCACATGATAGTGTCTGAAAAGAAGTACCTATAGCCATGTATAAGAGCTTTCTGGGCCTGACCATAGCGAATAGACGGTCAATGTACTCAAATATGACCTGAAATACTTCATCAAACGTGCTTGGTGCAGCCTGCATAATTCAATGCAAAAGACAATGGGCTCTCAAAACTTCAGCCAAGCATGTCCCCGGCAAAAGTAAATCAAAGAAAAATAGGATGAACTCGGTTAAATTCCTGATCAAAAGTGAGAAAAGGTTACAGCAGACTGGATTGGGGATACATACCCTATCTTCTGGGTGGAAACAGGGGTGAATGATGCCATTCATATCAAGATACAGATTATCGTACTCCAGCCCATTTGGATTAGGTTGAGTTGTGTCAATTGGAACCTTCACGCCCTCGATAACATGCTGCTCATCTTCAATGACATCTACCACAATCAGGGGATACTTGTCCGCCAACCAACGATAAAAAGCTGGGACTCCCATCCCTGCTCCTGCTGCTGTTCAAGCTAAACCTCGATACAGGCAGCCAGGTGCGTGAATTTCTCGCTACAAGTTAGGTTTGACGTGAGATCCAAGAGCTTTTAATCTCACATGTAAGAACGACTGCGAAGATAATCTTCCTTGGATACGACTGAAGTGAAATAGCAAGCCGTAATGTAAATCCTACAAAAGCAGAATCTCACCGAGAGGGAAGAGAAGAGGAAAATCCTACAGTCGCCTGATTCGATACTTCCAGAAACTCAATCAATGATGTTTACGCTACAAATGCTTCATCTACTAGAAAATAACTTGAATCTGGAGGTTATCACTATCACTCGGCAAGCCTTGATCTAAATAGCAGCAGCATTGTCAAATTTTGCTGCGAAGTAATACAAGAGAATAGAACTCGAGTGCACCAACTAGTAGAAGCTACTGTAATCCATTCAAATGCAGGAATGAACCTTCCCGTTGGAGTAAATAAAAAGGAGGATGCGGGAATTTGGACACTTGGAAAAGGATCAAAAGGTGAGTTCTAGCAACTTGCGACGACGTCGGGAATTTGCAGTTTCTCCACTATTTCTTTTGCTCCATCGACTCTTCTGGAATATTGAACAGAACATATTAAATTAAAACCTTAAAATCATAAAAATTCACGGTCGAATTAACTGTGTAAATAACAAGTTAATGTAAAAATTTGTGTTTCAAACATCATCATACATTCTCTAAACTAGAAGGAAAAATAATGGTCCCCTCTGCCAGCAAAACTGGTCAAGGACTAATGAGGTTTGTTTAACACACGAAGCTAGTTGACCCGCAAGTAAAGGTTCGTAGCTGAATCACTAAATATGAATGAAAACAACAGGCAGTGTCTCCATCATTCAAAACCCAGATCTTTACTTAAAATAAGAAGAAAGGCGAAGCTCTACCACAGAAAGTAATAAAACGCTCCAGTCACGAGGTCAGAGAAAATTAAATCTGCCAAACAACTTCAGCTGAGATAAAAGCGTCCTAGTCTACCAAACTAAACCGAATCACGAATAGAAAATATGTCCAGATTTAGAAACAAAACTCAATAAATGCTGTGCTAGCTAATCGAGCAACAAAGTGGAGAAAGAACAAAACCTTAAACACTCAGACACAGTCAACCGGGCAGGAAACAATTGCACATACACCTCAATTCGATGCCTGTGAGTGTTTGCACAGAGCTGCATGTAAACGAGATGCAGCACAAGTGTACAGATACCAACGTAAAAGCTAAGAGCATGATGTTCGTAGTAACTCTGCCGTGAGACCTTTCAAATAGGGTTCTGGAAAACTAGGCGAATTCTAAGACGAGAAAGGAATGGTTGCCGACGTTTCACACATCAAAGTCACATCAACAATCAAAATTAGCATATGAAAGACGCGGCTTATTCAAAAATCACCGACTTACAAACCTCAGGTGCTTTCTCAAATCAAATTGGGGAAACATCCCAAACCCTAAGAATGCAAAAGCAGCTACAATTAAACAGCAACAGAGATGACAGCTTTCACAAAAACCTGCGGCCAAACTCCGAGACAAAGATCCTACCTCACAGCGAACACCAAGTAATTCTGAAGCCAAGGCAAAACCGCTGCCACAATTCAAGGTCACTTCCTCTCGAGCTGCCACAAATTAAAGCAAACCATAGCAACCCTGCCACCTCCACGGCTACACAAGACACTTGTAAAATGCCAGAAAAGAACACAATGCTCTACAGAACACCGCCACAGCCCGCGGCATGACTCCCAATTAGCGCATGAATGGAACACAAGGGACACGCGAAAGGCTCCCTCGAGGAAGAAACAGTAGGGAAGCACGACAGCTGCAACGCATCCATCCATGCAAGCACTGCGATGACGATGATGATGATAAAGCGATCTCGCACCAAAAACGCAAAGCCCTCACATCAAAGCCGACAGAATGAAACCAACAGAGACGAGGGAGGATGCAGCAGCACCGAAAAGGCAATTCAGCACACAAGACGATTGAAACAAGACCTCAGGAAACGAGGAAAAGAGTTCATCCGGAAGTAGAAGAAGAAGGCGAAGGCAATGTTACGCCGGCCAAGCAGAACCGCGAAAACGTGGTACTAAATCGATATATACCGTGGTGAGTATGGACCTTTTCAATTTCGTGCAGGAGGGAGGAGTTAGAATCATCAATCAACCTGTGTCGGGTAGATGGATCACACACCTTCACTCGGAACCCTAAGATCCGAGATGAAACCCCTCGCTCCCTACTTCCCTCCCATAGTTTTGTTCGCAAGCAGGTTGGACTTCGCCCATCCATCGGTCGCCGCCCATCAGTCAGTCACCTCGCCCCGACTCTCGTCCACGAACAGTCCTCTGACATCGCCGGTCACGGTCGATCATCCGAACCTGAGCTTTCAGGGCTTGGATGGATAAATTTATGTGGCTATTATCATTTATTCGTATGACTGGCTTCATTCTTTCACCTTGTTGTTCCAAGGACACCAACACTTCTAATTTTCTGCCCTGAGTGTTGAGGACTGGTTGGTCAAACTTGCACTTTCAGTTGAATTATCCACTACAACGAGTCATACCACTTGGAAGCCCACAACAACACTGACTATTTTTACAGATAAGAATAACAAAAAGTTGGTTGTTTCTCTGTTTACAATCAAATTCTAAAAAAAGTTCCAACAAAATGTTTTAACGAATTCAAATAAAGTCTAACGAAATATGTTTGCCAACTGGTTTGACCATTTTTCAGAAAAAAATTGAAATGGATTTTATGAAATTTTCAATGATTTTCAAATAATACAATGGCAAAAACTAGTTTGGAACAACTGCTAGTTTCTAGAATCAACAAATTCATTCGTACTCAAACAAAAAAAACAAAAAAACAAAACAGATCTGTGTCCTAAAAAATCAAAACATGACTAGAACTAAATTAAATACATTCTACAATGTGTGTAAGATCTAAATTTTATGTAATGAACAAGGTGTTTTAAGAATGTTTTTCTAAATATATGCAGTTCAATAATTAAACAATCAATTAAACTAATAAATAGTCTAAAAATAAAATTGTAGTTCAAATTTAACAATCAATTCAAATTTTAAATATGTTTATTTACTTCACTCTTTTACTTAAAATATAAAAAGTATAAGATCTGTAATGTCACAAAAAAATATATAAAATAATTAGCACACATTAAAAAAATCAGCAATGACTTCACCATTAAATTAAGGTTGTAGATCTTAAAATTTTGATTAAACTAACTCTAAAATTTAAATGAATGTTTCAAATTTTAGGTTATATTATATTGATTTTTTATATGAATTTCATTATTTATAGGAAAATTTTAAAATTAACTATGTTTTAAAAACACATCATATTGAACAGAAAAAAAAACTATAAATTATATATTAGTACACTTATTCATTTATTTTGGATGTAATTTTTGTTGTAAATTAATAACTAAAATAAAAGACTCTCATGTTAAAAGAGTCTACAAAATTGAATATAAAATATACACATTATTACTATTTTTTTTTTGCATATGAATAGTTTAAAATATAGCATAACCAACTATTGTGATAAATTAATCATTAATAATTTTTTTGATAACAAAACATTAATTTATTAGATTACTGAGTAAAAATCAATTAATTCGTATCGAAAAATAAATAAAATATAAAATATCCATTGTATCTTTTAAGACCAACTCCATGTAAAATTTATGGAATATAATTTTAATGCATAGGATTCAATTAATATTGATGAACAAAGGTTTGTTTCTTTACCAGTAGCCAAATTATTGTATTTAATTTGCACCCTAAATTATCAAACTTTAATGAGTTCATATAGTATAAATGACTATTTTGGGCATAAGATGTAAGGAAAAATATCATATATTCCTTGGAAGTTTGTTGAAATATCAAGAATATCCATATATTCATAATAATTGCAAATGTATCCCTTGCTTTTTGTGTAATTTCAAATCTGCCCTTCAATATGATGAGCTATTAGAAATATAATTTTTTAAAGTGAAACTTGGCCCAACCTGCGTGCCGCGGAGAACGTGGCGGGACCCTTCCGCACTTTTTAGAATAGACTACTGCGCTGTCCATTTTCGGCAAATGAATGAATTCACGTGTGTGGGACTCCGGTTGAATCAGCTCAGCAGGTGTGTGTCTCGACCCTTGCTCGCCACACCCCCATGACTCTCGTTTCTTTGAGCTCTTCGCAGATGCGATGTTTTCTTGTGATCGTGGCATTGCTCTGCGTTGTCTCCGCTGTTACAGGTGAGTCGCGGCTGACAGAGCCCTCGTGGGGCTGGATGAAAGTTAAAGTGAAATTCCCACTTTCTAGATATCTGGGTTCTACAGTTGTGCCGAAGAGGGCACTGATTGACCACGCAGGTAACGGAGGAATCGAAGCAGGAGTAATGTTGCGGGGATCTCCGTCTAGAAAACTCCTCCAAAACAGTGACAGGTGAGTGTTGTATCCTTCAATCGAGTGACCGCCGAAAGCAAAAAGAAAAAAGAAGAGGAAGGGGGCTCATGATGAGAAACTTCGATTGTCTAATCGTCGGGACATTGTAATCCGTCGTTCAATGAGTGCAGAGCACAGCAGTTGGATTTAGATATTTGGATAACTCGCCAAACCATCTCCGTGACAAATGCATTGGCAACGATTCGCTGATCGTATGAACAATCAGCTCTGATACCAGCCAACAGACAACGATACTTCAAGCGCATTTGACCTTTTTTTTTCTAAAGTGAAAAATAGGTTGAACGTAGCATCATTAGAGCGAAACAAGTACGCCGTATTACTGTCCCGAATTCACATATTTTTTTCACCTCGTCTAGATTTGGCAGTCCACCATTTGAGGTTGGAGGACAAAGTTCCTGTTCTGTTCAGATGGCCATTTTCGCAGCACGTGTGCTTTGAGTTAGGGATCATTAGGTGCATGATCATTGAACTCATTACATGCAGAAAATGCAAGGCTCAAAGCAGTTCAGAACCACCAGGAAAGTCAAACCTTTTTGTAGAGCTGTGTTAAAATATGAGATAAGTTTTATTCAAAAGTCGAAGATATATCTTGCAAAAACAATATTACGTATTAAAATTAACATCTTAAAATATGGGTACACAAATATGATTTAAGTCATATATATATATATATATATATAAATATAACCCAATTGCAATAGCAATTCTTGTTATTTTGTATTATGGTTTGAAGTGTTGAGAAAAGGTATAATGTGCAATCTTTTAATTTTTTCTAGTTTTCATCATTATGTCATTTGAAAATGTGGGATATTGGAGGTTTTAGTCATAAGTTATAATTTAATATAGGGATAAGGAATTAATTGTTAATATTACATCTCATTTTTAATCGTACATGTTTAAAACCTTGATTCACTCAAATATTTAGTGGCAATTATTTTATGTTACTCTGTTTTTCCAGAAAAATCGATTTTTAAATACAATGGCTAGCAGAGACTTTTCATTCATTTTTCTTGTAACTGGTTTTCATATATATATATTTTTTTCATGCACATGTATATGTATTTTTTTTTTTTTTTTTTTTTGTCTTTTTTGACCTCTGTATTTGTTTGAAATATACAGTATAAATTAGTGAAAAGTTCAACTACGTACATTATTTACCCTTGTGAGCAAAATGGATTCACAAACCGTGTCAGAAGTGTCACAACTAAGCAACCACTGAACAATATTACTTCTTTTCAAAACAGAAGGGGACCATGTTTGCAACATGATGAGGGTCTTTAATAAATATCTTCGTTTAAAAAAGGATTGGAATGAAGCGAGCGATGTTTGTAAGAATCTCTGTGGACAACAAACCCATTCATTTACATATCAAATCAACTAAAAGATGAAGAATGTCGGTAACAAGGTTTTGCCTAATTTATTTATATTTTTACTTCTTTTTTTCACCAAGCACACAGTTAATTGTGAATGACAAGGAGGGTGATTTTGTTGCCCACTTCACCTCTCCTTACAAATTAAAATGGCAAGATTCGAAAGGGAACATCACGATCCCTTGACGTTCACAGCGTTCCCACGGCCCCCAAACGAGACTAGGTGCGCGAGCCGTCAAAGCGGGAACCCCAACACTGGACAAACGAGGCGAACGGGGGAGGGGAACGGGGGAATAGGGGGACCGTGACCGAGGTGGCAGGGGCCACGAAAAAGGTGATGTCCACAAATATATCTTCTGAAAAAGGCGAAGTGCAGGGAATCTCCGAATGAAATTGAAGTGAGTCCACCTGGATGCTTCTGCAGTCATCCCGCCTCCACAGAACTCTGATATTGAATTCCCATTTGGGGACCTCAATTCCCACCACAAGCGTCGCTGTCCAGCCGTGTAATTCGGATGGGACTTGGATAGGGAGCCTGGATTAGCGGGACCTGGATGGAGTGAGGGTCCTCGGCTTCGAACTATTTCGCCGACAGGGGCCCTTCCTTCCTTGCTTGCTTTCATGGTTGTGCACAGTGTTTTCGTGGCGTCCACCTTCGCCGCCATCGGGCTTTTTAGGAGTTGCCAGGAGGCTGGGGGGGTTTGGGTTAGTGGAGCTGTGGTTGCGGTCTCTCTTAATGCTGAATTTTCTGTAGTCGCAAGGAATAGTGTGACGGATACGAGGTGGGTGGCGATTTCGATGTGGTTTTGAGGTTTAAGGAGGTGCGGGTGGTTGTTGGTTGTTGGTTGTGGAGTTTTTCCGGGGATGGACTGTGTTTGGATTGCAAACGGAGTGCTGTGGACGTTGAAAAGCGTTTGGTTAGGGTAGTAAGAAGGTGAGGAGTAATTTGACCTGGTTTTGGTTTTTAGAGCCAGCTCAGCGCGTGGACGTGAAGGGAAAGAGGCGGAGGTGGTGTTGTGGGGAGTTTTAGTTTTCGAGGTTCATGGTTTTGGAGGAGGTTTGTTTTTTTGTTGGTTTTATAGAGATCAAGGTGTTTGGCTGGTCTTTTGGAAGGATCTGTCTAACTATTCAATGTTATTCTGGTAAAGCTAGCTTCGTATTTGGAGTGCGTGAAGGCGGCCGCAGAAGTGCTCGGACTACCAAATTGCCCGGCGTCGCGGTGTGAAGTGAATGCGGTCGTTTTGATAATTCGGATGTGATTGCGAGATTTGTGCTTTTGCGTGGTGAGAATGCGAGTTCACTGCGATGTCTGCGAGAAAAACAAGGCGGCGGTGATGTGCTGTGCAGATGAAGCTGCACTCTGCACGGCTTGCGACACCAGAGTTCACGCCGCTAATAAACTTGCCAACAAGCATGTCCGGGTTCCTCTTGTTGGGCAGCTTGAGCCACCCCGCTGTGACATATGCCAGGTCCGTAATGATTGTTTATGTCGCTGAAATCTGCCGTTGAAAAGCAATCTGCGCAGTTTTCACTAGCATCAAGTTTCTTCTCCTTGTTGACTCAGAATGTCTTAGTGCGTCAGTCTTTCCTAGTGGGTATGGTATGTTTGAGTACTGGACCTTGTTGCCGCAGAAAAAGATGTCATTTAAGGCACTCGTGACTTCTTCTTTAGTGTGTATGAGCAGCTTAGGCACTGAGGAGTTCTGCAGCAACGTATTCTTGTTTTGTAATTTCAACATTCGAGTTGTCGAAGCTTAGCAAAATCCTTACAGGAAAGTTATGATCGTAGTTTTTTGATGGGTTATAATTACCCATTTGTGTGTAGAATCTTAGCTGCTGGGTGAGGGTCTCACTGTTAGCTCTCGATGATTGTTGTTTATTAGGATAAAGCAGGTTTCTTCTTCTGCTTGGAAGACAGGGCCCTTCTCTGTCGAGATTGTGATGTATCCATTCACAGCTCAAACAAGCTGTCGTCCAACCACCAGCGGTTCCTGATAACCGGGACGAGGGTGGGTTTGGATGCAGTCTCAGGACAGGAAGGTACAGAGCGGATGTCGGAGGAATCACCGAGAGTCTCATCTCTCACCACTGTAACTAAATCTCCCTCTCCGCCAGCCTCCAAGAGCAGTCCTTCCTCAGCTTCAAAGATGAATATGGTTAGTGTCAAGCCACAACCTGCTCCCACGAATGCAACCTCTAATGCAAATCCATCATGGTTATCGAATGGTGGAAGATACACTGAGAGAGAAAAGACCAAGCTACTGTCGGTCGGGACAACCTCAGCAAATGTCGTCGACCCGCACAGTTCGTCTTTCGGAAGGAGGAATAGTATCCCAGCCGACTTGTCTGATGCTGTACCTGTATGGGGAGTGGATGAGCTTCTGAACCTACCAGAACTGGCGGACGGTTACCATTTAGGTGACATCGGCTCCTCCAAGGTACACATATTATCTATCTTTGACGTTAACACTCTAAAGTTTCGAACTTTTTCGCGTCTCTCAGAGTAATTACGCGTTGTGGTAAATCTCAAGGAGGATTTGTCAATTAGCATTGCACATATATTGCAAGCTGTGGCATTACTCAGCATAAAACACGTTCTAATAGCTTATTCTAAAAAAATCACTATAATATTATTGTATTATTACAGTGTAATATTCTTAATCTAAAAAATTAGTATTCTAGCAAATGCTCACTTTGTCTGCAGGCTGACATGAACAACCTTGGTGACTGCGACTGGATGGCGGATTTGAGCATGTTTGAAGAGCAAATTTACGCCGAGACGTTGCGCAAGGTTCCTCAGATGTTCGCTCCTGCTCCAACAGCTGGGCTATCTCGTGGAGGTAGAGCAACTGTCCTTAGCAAAGGGAAAGGAAAGCAAGAGGCAGCTATTGTTCCCCAGTTTGATGATGCATTCGTTGTACCTGACCTTGGTCTATCAGCTAGTGCATTGTTACCAGCTCCTGTCGCCAAACGCCGCAGAACTTAAATTGAGTTCTTGCAACATTTCTCACTTAATTATAGCTCCATCAGTTCCGGCATTGTGTGCAAAGTGTCTCTTTCATTGCTGCGTTACTGTTTGTACTGTCGGTGTAGTCGGCCGATTGAAGATTGATGGGGGCCAAACTAATGGAAAGTATTTTGTTTTTATTCAAGCTAAATTGCCCAGGAGAGGGGTGGTTTTTAAAGGGCGTCACTACTTGCATTAATTTGAAATCATGGGAAGAGATGACAATCTAGTCAAAAAATGTGAAAATGAAAGTTACTATTCATTGGTTTTGACAGTAAAATATATGATTTTAATAATTCAAAAACTTTTCTACATTTAAAAAAATTAAACTAAAAGAAAAAGTTGACCTTCGCCCAAATTAGTCACGTGTGACAGTACAAATTTTAATTTTCTTCACCTTCGTAATGTAATTAAACTTCTAGACAGTATTTTAATTTAATCATAAACACAACTGAGTTTAATTTGTCTTTTTTGATGTTTGCACACCTTAAAGAAACTAAAAATAAATTGAATGATAAAATAGTTCCAGTGTGACAATGAGCTTGACTTAGTAAGAGGTATATCCACTTCAAAGTGTATCCTTAAAGATTCTATTCATTGAGATGTTTGTATTTTCAATCAAGTCAACCATAATGTAAAAAATCCGTATAGGGTTTGAATTAAGTACTTTGTTTAACACTGTAGGTGATGATGTATACGCCACATATGGAGGTGGGTGATAATTCATAAATCCTTCCTACAAGATTTCATTTGTATATACTGTTAGAAATATTGTAAAATAAGTGGTAAGCCTTTGTTTTAAATATTTTCTTCTAAATGAAAATAGAAACATTAACAGGAATATCATTAAAAGGTAGAATGCAGGTTTTTCTTGTGATATATTTGAAATATTTACAAAACCAAATCAGACACACTTTGGGCATTTTATAACAATTGTTCGATCAAATTTTTAATACATTCTTCAAGATCTTCAAAATCCAACTTGACAGGGGGCATATTGTTATCTTATTCTTCAAACAAGATGCATGTGTTTAAATAAATTGAAGGTACATAAAATTTTATTTTTAAAATTTGTGATAGTTAAAGATAGCGGAAAAGTAAACTAAATAGAAACAAAAAGACTATTGAAATCTAAGACCAGAAAGAAAGCATTCTGTTCTGTTCATTACTCTCTCCCGGACATATTATTACCACACAAGATGTCCCAAGTGTGGTCTAATATGAACAGAATTGGATGCCTTATGGATATGACGTCTTCCACAACAGTGATCACCTATGAAAAGGATCATCGTAACAAAAACCAATTACGATTGTACAAATTTTCCAACAATTTTGATCACCGTTGATACAATCAGGATTAACGTTATTTTTTTATTTCACCAACTGCTCTTACATCCGTCTGATTTGAGAGTGATCAGGTAGTCTCCGATTCTCTCTGTATAGCAAGACTCTCATGGAGACTTCAGAAAGTGGCTGAATTATTGAATGGAAGGAACCTAGATTGCTAGGGATTGAAGGGTTAAGTTGACGCATTCAATTGATTCACATTCAATGCTAGACTAGTATTGTAGATCCTTGTGATGCTGCAGGTTGGGTGCAATCCAAAGACCATCAACTAAGAGGTTTTGAAAGCTTAAGTGTTGGTTAGTTACTTCTTTCACTTCACTATTGTTCCTGAACAATGTCGACTGCACTATGAGTGAATGTTATTCCAGGAGGAAGCCATGTGACCTTCGACAGAATGTAAGTTTTTTGCATGTGTGGTCGGAGGAGTAATTTGTATTTCATTTTATGTCTGTGGGCTGCAATTTTCAAAAATGTCGTATGTGGGTTTCATGAGAGCGAGTTTCATGAGAATCCTATTGCTCGTACATGAGAATTGCGAAGAATTATGTTTTTTTCTCTTAATTTGATGACTTTGTGGTGTGTAGCGTTCAGCAATGCCACATTAGAGAGCATTCTTAGTCGCTGTTTGAAAAACGACGTCCAAACGCAAGGTCAGTTGTTTTTATACGACCTTTTAGACCCCGCTAGCACAAATCAGCAGAATCTCATCTAGGTCTACCCATGCATCCTGAATTGCTATTGTTTCAATTCGCTGAGAGTATTGTGTTTTTACTGCAGGTAGATATCAATGGTCATTGAAATTAGCTGCAATTGAGATGGCGAAAGGGGAGCCACGTTTTGCGGATTCTGCACCCTGGAATGGTTCTTTTCCGTATTAACCTAAAGCAACCCACCTCAAGTTTGGTTTACTGACGTGAACTAATGTCAAGTTGTTAAGCCGGTTCTTGAAGAACTTACATGTGCATGCTGTAGTCCGTGTTTAGTACTAATTTTATGGGGCATACAAAAACCAACCGCTGGTGTTACTCAAATCCGGTATCAAGTTCTTGGATAACTTGGACTGTGTAATTTTATCAATTGAAGATATATGATCACCATTCACGACCGTTTAAAGAGTTTGTATCTTTCTGTTTCAATAATAATCAGCCTGAGGTTTGGAAACCTTGGGAGCTTTACACTTGAAATGGAACTCCCATCAGCTTTTGACGTGGAGCGTAGAACCTCACACTAAGAGAAGTTCGCGGAGACTTGAAAGTTGGCTTCGTATTGTAAATAAGATGAAACCTCAGTTGATGGTGCAAAATTTCTGTAAAGATTCTGCTCGCCTTTATTTAAGCAGTATCTGGATGGAATGTTTTGGATGGTATCAACTCATGATGCTACCCTATTCATGAGAGTAATTTTGAATATTCGTGCCTTGCTTCTTCATATTTGATATTATGTCTTCCGAGTGAAAACATGAAACCAATATCTCAGCCTATTATAGCGACCGAGCTAGAAGAAGCTTTTTAGGCTTCTTCTTCTTCTTCTTCTTCTTCTTCTTCTGTCAAGAATGTCCCAAGGAGCACCAGGATTCTTGTCAGGATAAGGTTTGGGTTGAATTTTCCTGTGAAATATCACTTTTTCCAATAATGCTCCTATCTCCTATCTTGTACAAGCAAACAAGTCTCGTTCACTTGCATTCATAACTTTTTTGAAGTGGTGCAATCGCAATGGTGCAGAGAACAATCACAACCACATGTTCGCTTTAACAAAGAGGCACCCGAATCATCTTGTGCCTTTGCGAATGAGGATGATGCTAAGGAATTGGAAGGGAAGAGTGGCAATGGTGTCAATTTTCCTTTTGGGTGAGCTTGTCAGTACTTATTTGATCATTATACAAGTGCTTGTGATGCATGTCATGCATGGAGCTGAATATCCAGTGATGCTGAGATCTGAATGTGTGAACTTTTGCGCATTTATTTTCAACATTTATATATTTAGTTTTAAATGTAAGACATAGTTTATAAATTTATTTTCAAGAATCGCCGTATTTATTGATTCCTTGAGGTTGCTACGCTTCAGCACTCCGCCTGAGCAGCTTGGAGAATGAGTTGGGACTTTGAGGCTCAAAGTTTCACACTTTTAGGCAGTGAAGCACCGCCCAACTTTTGAAGCAAACCCGAACCCATCCATACTGGCATCTCTTGGTCACGAATCAACCTTATTATCAAATTGTTGCGTGACTAAGAGATGAAATTATGGCATGGACTTGATAGATACAGTTATGGGGTGCCAAGAGGATTAGATGCTGAATTGTTTTCTCCGAGAGTTCGTGTAAATTTCTGAAGATAATTCTGTTCTCTTCCTTTCAGGTTTCGCTGAGGGCACTCAAGAAAAACGCTGGTATTCTTGCTGAGGTTCAATTCCATCTAATTCTTTGATTTTAAGAAGTTTTCTTGCATGGCTGTCTATTACTGACGCCATATCATTGATCGAAGGAGTTGCTCACAAGCATTGAATCTTGCTCTTTTCATGGATTTAGTATCCATTGCAGAGCACATGTAGTATGTCTGCATTATCTTAAAATCTCTTGGGTTATGATTATTTGCTACTCGACTAGAATATCAAAGTCATTTGTATTAGTGTACCCTTACTTTCCAAAGCTACTCTTCCGGCTGGAGTATGAAATGGAGGTCGCAGATGCTATGTTTATGTGAATTTACAAAAGGAATCACTCAAGTATGCAGGGTTGGCCCTTAGTTTAACTGCATACCCGCTTTTGCACCCAGAAAACGTTCTGAATTTCGGCCTGGATGTATCTGCTATCTGGGTTTGATATCTTTTTGATCCCTGCTCTTAAATAAGCATTTCCTCTGCATTTCTGTCGAATTTTACTAGCATGTGAATTTTTACCGTGTAGTGGATCTGTGCCTCATTTATTTATTTATTATCTGCTTCCCATTATCCGTTGTAAATTGATGACACCATTCTATTAAGACCGTAACTAACCAAACTAGAAAGGCCTGTCTCAAGAACTGCAGCTGATGGAGCTGACAATATGATGGATTTTTAGCGGCTGGAGCTCTCGTCATCAAACTTCTACGTCAATTAGTCCGGTATTCAATCAAGTGGGTTCTTTCATGCTTTCGGATGAAAGACGGGTAATGACTGTCACAATGTTGATTTATGCGACCTTGTCAGTTGTTTCATAAACCACGTACATTGAGTCCTTCGCATTCATTCATAAACACCTTGAAAATTTCTATTTGCACATTCTCAAGTCTATCTCATTTGTCGACTGCCATTGTACGTAACTTATGTTCGATGATATGTTAAAAAAAAGCTTCCGGTAAATTGGAATTAAATAATGCTGTGAATTATTTAGTAAATTTTACTTCCAGGAAGGTTGAATTACCCCTGAAAGGTTTGCAGAACCTAGCACGTCGATTTCTTGACGCATCAGACAATGGCAGTGAAGATGAACATACCCCACCTTCACATGCCCAACCTGGTAATGCCAGACACAGATCTCAGAGGGTCACAACTGATTATTCAGGACAGAATCCAGTGGCTTCTTCCTTACATCTCAAGTTTGCTCTGTCTCAGTGTCTATTGCACTCTTTCACTCTCTTTCCTACATGATGTCTACATCTTAAGCTAGCATCCTGAGCATTCCTCCCAGATTAATTCTGTTGAACTGCATTTTCAGCAAACCTCTGTCAGTCTGACCATTTGTGGGATTCTCCTATCTCAAAGTTTGCCCTGGTTACCCTTCAGTTAGAATGATACTGGTCTTGTGAAAATGCAGAGATGTGATAGTATTGTACTGGTCAGGTGAAATGCAGAGAGGTATCTTCTGGCGTGCTTTGCATTGTCTCTGATGAACACAATTTTAGAGACTTCAGATTTCCACCAGGTTGTCTTTCTGCTATTTCGTTTTGGTCACCTAGCAGCGTGTTTTTGAGGGTGGCAAGGCCAAGCTGCATTAGACCATTGTGCCCCTCGCTGATAGCTCATTTGCTAGATTTAGTTAAGGTAACATATATATTATACTGGAAGCATACTTTACTAGGGATCTCCAGGAGTCACATCCAGGTGTGTTGTTGGAAACTCTGGACAAGAAATAGGCGTAAGCAACCGTGTAATTTTAGCACCTGAACATTGTTAGTTGCACTTGCAGTTTTCTCATGAGTATATAAATCTTAGACATTACAGTTGGTCACTGATCAGTGTTTGATATCAATATAAGTTTTACAGGCAGAGTGTAAATTGTTGTGACACACGAGGGTTGATGGTGAGAGTTAGTTTAGTGAAATGAAAAAGATTAAATGGTTGTTTATTTTATTAACAACCATTAAATTATGAACATGATTTTTATATTGAAAAAATTAAAGATATAGTTGTATTTTAGGACCATAATTCACAAAAAAATGTAAATTTTTTGGTTCTTCTTTCAAATAAGAAAGTAAATGTAATAGTAAATGACACACTTCTAAGCATCCATTTTCACATTGGCTTTAGAGGTTAATCTATTCCACTAGCAGCCCTCACTTACCCTTTAACAAACTATATAAGGCATCCAAGGGAACGACGACGAACGACGACGAAGAACGACAACGACGACGGACGGCGGACGAAGGACGACCCATGACGTTGTCCTGCTTCGAGCTGCAACAGCTCATAACTGCGAAGTGATGGACATTCAATTCTGTTGCAATTGCCTCGGGGCTGGATATTTTAGACCCTTACATTGAATTCTATCCAACGCATTCAATGCAATGCCACTGCAGAAAAAAGAATCAATTAAAATAATGTACCCACTTAGCCAAACGGAAGTCCAACCTAGAATTCGCTCACCGCTTGAATGAGCTTGCTAACAGCGTTTCATGCAGTCTTCCGAGGCGTGTTGTGAGAGTTTTCTCGTTCTAAATTTCATACTAGAGCTGGAATTGGATTGTTTCAACCACCACTGTAATTACCCACACGCGACACGGAGGAGAACGATCGGATAGTGAATCCTTGTCTTTGCCGCGTGTGATCTCTGTCTTAGCACAATTTGCATTGCACCGAGGCGTCAGAAAGCCAAGAGGCTGTGGACTCTAAACTTGCAGCAGCCCCAGAGTGTGTCCTGAGGGGTGGCAATTGGATCGTTGTTATAATTAGGCTGGAGCATTCAGTAGCAGCTCCCCATGATCAGATCGTATATTCACTTGGTGGCAGGGATGCAGAAGCATGCGAGCACATTGGAGACGGTGACGACCGAAAGGAAGGCATGGTTGGAAAGAAGCCATGGGGAGGAGGGAGAGTAAAGATTATGCCAAACGAGTAGCGAGGAGGCTGGCAGTATCTTCTTCATCGGAGGGTATCTGAAACATGCATCCTACACAGATGCTGCTGCAGACAGTTTAGCGCCAAATCATGTCCCCCATTCTGCTTCGTGGCTCGCGTACCCTTCCATGGTTTGTTGGGTTCCACGGCTTTTTTATAATCCGAGTCTTTCCTACTGCACTGCTCCGTTGTCGTTGAAAATGGGTTCAGCTTGTTGCAGTAGTGGTTTCAAGAAGCTTGTGTAGGATTTTGTAGGAGCGGAGTTGTATGGTGACATCAAATACAGAGAGGGACAAAAGACACAGACGAATTGTGTTGCGGTGTACGTTCGGTGTCAGGAAGTTATTAGCTCCGTTGGGTTTACTTTCTGGTGAGACTAATTGTGGTGCACGTCGGCGAGACCATTGTGTCGGACTGCTGAAATTCCTCCGGTTATGAGTGATGGTTTGGAACGGCCATTAGAAGTCGTCGGTGGCCTTTTGGCTGATCACCCATTTTAGCTATTATGCAGAATGGATTTGGTGGATAATTGCGTCCGGGTTGCTCTGGGGTGTATTGTGCCTTGGATACCCTTGAGGAGTGGTTGTAGAGGGGGTGATTAGGACAGCGCGCTAAAGCTTCGTTTGGAAGCTATCACAATAGCGTCACTTGGAGTTGGGTGAATTTCTCTCTGGAGGTGAGTTTGCTACTTGCATCTTCTATCAACAAGAAGTGTTCTAGTGTCTCATATTGGAATCGGAGTATACATATCGAATGGTAGGCGTCTCGTTGTTCTGTCTAGTACTAGGTAGAATGATTAGGGTGTTTTCTCTCTGCATTATGACATGGAGACTGTAGTCTGGGAAGTAGCTCGCTGTACGTGGTACTGGCTTTGTTGAAGTGTTGGTTGAAGTTTTGCTTGGACGGAGTGGATCACTCACATTCGAGTCCAGAGAGGCTTCCAATTTTGCGAGCGGGTGACATAGATCTTACGATTGTCTATTAGTGACAGCGGCTGCCTCTTTCTTATCCTTTCATGTACTGGTGACCTTTAAAGGTGCTGATTACCGATCGTTGTGGCAATTCTGATCTTAATGTATTCGATATGAGGTGTTTACTCCCATTCTTGATTAATCTGGCTAGCTTTTATCTTCTTCTTCTTTTTTTATTTTTATTTTTATTTTTATTTTTTTTTCCTTCTATTTTCTGGTTTATTGCGGCTGAAGTTTCGTGTCTACCCCAAGAGTTCAGATGAATATATTCTTAACTGGCTAAGTGGTATCAAAATACGAAGTGAGATGAGATGTTGTTCACTGGCTAAGAGTGGGATCTGATGATGTTTCTGTTCTCCTGCTTGTTAAGACTGATCTGAGAATTTCTCTAAAAGGACTTTTTCTCACACGCAGAAGTGATCCGAATTGACATGGACACAGCAGACTGTGCTGCTTCAGTATTTGTGATGAAATCGTTTTTCCATTATGTAGAAGCCTCGTAGTAGATTCAGGGTTTCAAACCGTTTTTGTTTGTATTTGTGAATCTTACCAGATTATTTGATTGGGTGGTGTCTCCCAACCCCATTCTCGTGGTGTCGTCTCTTTCTTCACATTACTGCGAGTGGCCTCTTGTGACTGAGAGTGTTGCGGCTTCGTGAGAGAACTTTGTTCACCACTATCAATCCTCTATTCCAAGGCATTTAGGAACAATGGGTCGGTATGACTTGTAAGGAGTTGGAGTCTTGTACATCTAATAGTCTAATTCGTTTGATTTGATTATTTGTGCAGGTTTGACGCATTTTGATTGAATGTCGTTGAATTGTCGAGCAAACAGCATATTGGTTTCTTTCTGAATCCATAAACAAGAAGACTGTTGTGTACTCCACAGAGATTTCATCACTGAAGACTTCGCGATAGGATGGGGATATCATATCAAGAGGTATTTCAACAATTTATTCTGCCAGAGGCGTTGATCTGACGATTGTACAAGGTCCAAGTACGGATGTTCATGGTTTCCCATTGAAGTGGGTGAGGTGGCCATGACTGCAGCAGATCAGGATCCTGTGCTCAGAAGGATTTCGGTGGACCTACGGATGAGGTCAGGCAACCTAGTTCAGGGTCATTGAGAACTGATATTTGAATTTATTAGGTGTGCTGGTTTGAGAGTACTACCCTAGAAACATCGTTTTGAGGTGTTATTCTAAATGGCTATCTCATTTTATGACAGGAATCCAGTTAGCAGCTGATAAGATTTTATCGGTTAATTTGCCATGGCAGACACCGGTATGTTCGCAACTCTTTCCAGTTAGTATGAACTATTTGCATTTTGATATGACTTGCAGTTTATTTGTTCACTATCTCAAGTACTAAGGATCTCAATTCTGAAACATCATATGAACTTGGCTAGAAACAGAGCTGCAGAAACTGATGAGAAAGATGTATATTTGTCCAGTCTCTCAGAGACCTGTCCAAGCATCCGAAAATACCTACAGCCCACGCTCTGTAGGAAGTCCACAATGGCTTCAAAGCCCTAAACCTCCACCGGGCTCCAGTTTTGGCAAGCCTCCGCAGGTACGTTTTGTCACGTCACAATCATGAGTACTGCGTGTTCATACTTCTAAATCATTACAAGCATGAAATTCTTTTAAAAATGTTCTATGTTGCCACTTTGTGGATGCCAAGGTGAAGCTATATTTTAATTTTTTGGATTTTGTTTTAAGAGCTTAATTTACCGAGAGAGTTTTCGTTTTCAGCTGGGCTTGCCTCGTTTCTTTGAGCAAGTGAGGAATTACAAGCAGTTTGTTTGTGGACTTTTGAAATTAAGGCCTCGCCTTGTCTTGTGCAGCTTCATGCCCAGATGTGTGCAACATTAGCTGCACTTGTGAAACGTATGCACGCCATTGGGCCTTCTCTGGATTCTGAGCGTGGTCGATTTCGTAAAGCAGGAGTTCAGTCACTTTGTGCTTTGCAACTGGCTCTAGACAAGGCTCGGCTACTCCTTAAGTACTGTTCAGATTCCAGCAACCTGTACTTGGTATGTTCCTCTTGCAGCTAGTTATCATCTGATGTCTTGTTCGTATTCGGGCTATTCTTGGCCCAAATTCATTCGTTAGTGTCATAAGTAACAACGAAATAATTTGGTTTGCTGCCTTTTGAGTTTAGGTTGCTCTTAAATCTTGCACACTCGATTCATGCTTTTTCGTCTTGTGGGTTTTGGGAGCAGGCTGTCAAAGGGGAATCTATGTTGGCACGGTTTGAAGAGGTAAAAGTAGGGCTAGAGACAAGTCTGCGACGAATATCAGTTCTAGTTTCGCAAGAGCTTGCCTCTCAGGTTTGTGCTAACATGAACCTCGCAACTTTTACAGGGTTGTCGAAAGATTTATTGGCTCGATTAAAATCGGTTTTATCTGCAGATCTAGTCATTACAATGAGTTTTTCTGTGAGTATTGTTCTGCGTATTCTTAAGATATCACCATTTATGTCCTTCATTCTTTTCTGGTCTATCATCAGAAACGATCGTATGTGTATGGTTTTCACTGAGGCTGAACGATGTGATATTAGCTACAGCACGTGATAAATTTTTTTTTTTAGATTAGTGAGATTTTACACCACCGAACATGAGTATGCGACGGTTGCGTAAGTGCGGCTCACTGTCAAGTGGCAAAGAAACTGATTTGTGTTAGCGTTGTGTCCAGATCAATGAGGTTCAAGCTGAGTTGGGTCGAACTCGGTTCCAGCTGGACCCTGATGAGAAGAAGATAGGGGCTGATATTATTTCCTTGCTACTTCAGAAGCAAAAGGGGTCTCTATATGAGAATCCTGAAGCTGAGGAAGAAACCTTCAGCCAAGTTGCTATTCGGCTAGGTTTAGTGACAGCGGATGCTATCCTGGCTGAGAAACGCGCCCTGAAACGATTACTTCAGAAAGCACGATACGAAGAAGATCGTCGGAAAGAGCTATTCATCTTCCACATACTACAGCTTATGAAGAAGTACAATAATGTTCTCCGAACAGAGAATGTTATGCAATCAAACGGGGACTTGTCCCGTTGGCTTGTTTCGGACAGAGGTTGGGGTTCGGGGAAACTTTCTGGAAGCGGGGAGTCAGATACGGATAGGATTAACTCCCCACGAGTTTATCGAAGCTGTTCAGACTGTCGTTGCTCTGACATGGCGTTTCTTGAAACTGTAGATAGATCGGAGGATCCCGACTGTTCCAGCCCGAGAACTCCTCGAACACCACGAACTCCGCGGACTCCTGAAACTCCTCTTGCGCCAGAAGAGCTTCGGTGTCCCATATCTCTGCAGCTGATGTCGGAGCCCGTCATTGTTGCATCGGGACAGACGTATGAGAGACTCTGCATTGAAAAATGGTTTCGAGAGGGTCATGTTACGTGCCCCAAGACGAGACAGACCTTGGCGCACCTCAACCTCACGCCGAATTATTGCATAAAAGGACTGATCGCAAGCTGGTGCGAGTCGCGTAAAATTCCAGTCCCAGACCCACCATCTCCACTTTCTCCAGTCTCGTGGCAATGGGAACGTGGATCAGCCTCTGAGCTCGTCAAGGTACCCAATGACGCCCAGGAAAAAGACGCTCGAGGCGTGCCTGTGAATGATCTTCCAGAAAAGGACATGAAAACTCCTTGGAAAGAGAAGGCTGAGCTAGCTCCAGAGGCCCTCAGTTGCCCAAGTATTCATGAACATAAGGGTGCACACTTCCAAGAATGTAACTTCATGGATAAATCTGGGGTTTTCTTGCTTCGTAGAAGTTGTATGAACCTTTCTTTAGAACTGCAACCCGAAGATCAATGGGTAAATAGGTGTGAGGATTTGATTGTAGATCTTAAAGAGGGTTCTGTGGACCAAAAATTCCAGGCTGCTGAGAGGGTTCGGGTTCTGGCGAAATCGAATGCTAAGGTAAGATTGCAGCTTGGAGGAGGAGGTGCAATCCCAGCTCTTGTAGAGTTGCTGAGGGCAGCAGTTGATGCTGATGACCAAATTGCCCAAGAGGTGGTGGCGCTCTCACTCCTCAATGTTGCCATCAGTGATGACAGGTGAAGAACCTTTAGCGTGTTCTGTTATTGTAGCCTACTTGTGTGGGTCATGATCGTATGCAAGCGAATTTACAAACGCATAGCAGAGAGATATTTGGAACATGTATTTGGAACTGTTGTGCATCGTAGGTTGAATTCATGTTTTGATGTGTACAGGAATAAGGCCGCAGTTGTCACTTCAGGAGGTGTTCCTCTTATTGTCGAACTACTAAAAGCAGGAGCTAGTCGCGCATGCAAAGAAGCTGCAGCGGCTGCTCTTCTGACCTTGTCTTGCTTGAATGAGAACAAGGCTTGTATAGGCTCCTCTGAAGCAATTCCTCTCTTGGTGAATCTGCTCATATCTGGCTCAAATCAGGGACGCAAGGATGCTCTAACCACACTGTACAATCTCACTATATTAACGGAAAACCGGCTCCGTGTGGTTCGAGCTGATGCAATCCCTATCTTAGTGCATCTTCTGAGCTTACGCAAAGTGGACTTGTTAGAGAAGATTGTGGCCTTGTTATATATCCTGGCCTCTATTGAAGAAGGGAGATCCACTATTGCCGATACTGAAGGCGGCATAGCTGTGCTGACTGATATCCTTGACACGGGCAGTATCAAGGAGAAAGAGAGTGCCGCTGCCACCCTTTTGTTACTCTGTACTCATAGCTTCCAGCATAGCCAACTAGTGTTAGGGGAGGGAGTGATTCCTGCACTCGTCTCCCTCTCTGTGAGCAACAATCCGCGTGCTCAAGACAAAGCTCAGAAACTCCTCCAACACTTCCGGGAGGAGCGCCAGAAGGAGACCGTGTTTTCTCACTCGTCTCCTCGAGGAATAACTCTCAACACAGGAGTATCGATTGGTGGCGAGTTGCAACAGAGATTGCCTCAATCGAAGGACTTTCCTAGCAGCAGCAGCCCTGGGAAGGAAGGAAGTAAAAAGCTTGGGAAATCAAGGTCCGGCTCCTTTGGGTTTCTTTGGAAGCCAAGGGTGTCGCTGTCTCTCTATCAATGTTAATATGCATCACATGCATACACAGAATGTTTACATACCTTCAGCTCGTCTAATGGCAGTATTTCTTCTTTCTTTTTTAGATATACTTTTGTTCGTCTCTCCATTTTGTCATACAGTTTTTCCTCCCTTTTCCTTAGACACCCACTTGGAATTGCTTTGTTATCTACTGGCTGCATCACATATCGTCAGCATGCAGTCATTGAGATTCCCTCAACTGCTTTGCTGTAGCATTCATTCAAGAGCACCTCCTCCAAGCCACTTCAAAAAGACTTCAACAAAACTTATGCCTTAGCCAGTTGCCGCACCCCATTGCCCCCCACTGACAAATAGGTACAGAGCCCGGTAGTAGCATGCCGGGCACACCATATTTGTCGCGGTAAGGGGTGTCAAGCTAAACACTATCCTCCAATCATCATTCCAATCTCACCATTATTATCCAACAAATGTAATGGAAGAATCCAAGGACCAAATCTTCCACAAGCCAGTGTGGTGTGAACTCGTGGGTCCCGTTAAGCGGGGAATGGGTGGAGATGCTCTTCGTGAGCCTGTATCATTGTATGCACTGCACACCTCATGGAGCCCTTTGTCTTTACTATTCATTTGATGGCGTTTGAAGGTTTTTTTCTGGTAGAATGTACCCATGTTGAATAACAATTGGAATGTCAATTAGTTGGTTCTAATCATAGTATTTCATCTGCACCCACGTGACAATCCCACTGAAAAGGGCCCTTTTCAGATACATCTCAAAATAGTTATGTGATCATTTACATTCGACTGTATCTTTTTTAAGACATTGTGTTATTACAAATTGGGTGAATGGTTGGTATGGTGTTGTTTGCTAATAATCTCTGATCCTTTCATAACTATTTCATGATAATAGTTGTGATTAAAAAGATCGACGTTGCTAAAACTCAAAGTTGAGGTTCATTTCCTGTGATTAACTTTTTTATATACTCATTGATTGGTGGTTAATGTCATACGTAGCTTGCGTTGTTAAAGCACTGAAAAAAATAACATATAATAGAAGTAAGACCAAATTACTTATGATGCAGTATACTGACATCTAGTAAAATAGAATGGAAATCAAAATCTTGAATGCTAAACTCGTTGGAATATGAAGCCCTCATCCAAAAAAATGACAAAACAAAACAAAACAAGTTTCACATGCATCTAAAAATAGTTATCAGTTTAGTTTGTATTAAAACCCTAAAACTTTTTAACAAAAATGTAAGATATATTTAAAACAAAAATGGTTATTTTCAAGTCTGTTCAAACAAGGCTGCTTTAGAACAGAGCCATGCAACATTTGCATTACTACTGATTGGAATTGATTGAAACATTATCATACTTTTGTACTATGCAATGATGAAAAGACTCAAAATACTTGTAAAATTGTTATTTCCGCTATTGAAGTATTATTTAGACTGTTTTGAGATGTATCTGAAAATGATCAAATCACTACTTTGAGATGTATCAGAAACCTTTATTTGATTATCTACTGTAACGTTTCTTTGTTTTGTTTTGTTTTGTCTTTTTTTTTGTTATTGTTTTTTTTGTTTGTTTGTTTGTTTGTTTGTTTGTTTGTTTTGTTTTTTTTTTTGTTTTTTTTTGTTTTTTTGTTTTTTTTATATCATTTATTATTATCTTTACACAAAAAGCAATAGAATCAAATATCTAAAAACATATATTTTTTAATGATTTTTTTTCTTGAAGTTAAATAATAAGAATAATAAATACATATGTAATAGTAATTTTATATGTTTAAAATTTAAAATTTTGAATAATTTAATTATTTTTTATACAATATATGTTTGTAATAACTAGAACCAATCTAATATCATGCATACAAACATATTTATATGAAAAATGATGATTTTAAAGTATTACATAATTTTTTTAAAAAAACAAGAAAATGATTTTTTTAATGTTAAAATAATTAAACATGAATTAATATGTACATACATATGTTTGATTATATGTATGTATGAATATATATATTTATATATATAATTAAATTTGACAATGTTATTAAAATAAAAATAATAATTTAATTACAATTTTTTAAAAAAGAAAATTAAAATTTAAATAGTATAATTCTTTTGTTTTCACCTATTATTTAAGAATTATGTATAGCTACCTTGAATATTGTAGAAGTTAAAAAAAAATCCCTGTATATGTGCATAATTTAAAAACATGTATGTATATGTATATATATAAATATATATATATAAATATATATATATAAATATATATATATATATATATTCATCAAAGATAAAATTTAATTTTAAAAATATACCATTAATACGACTATTATATATAAAATTTAAAATATTATCAAGATTTTTTTTATAAATATATAAATAGTATATTATTAATATATATATATATATATATATATATATATATGTATTATTAATGCCACCACAATATTTGCTAGTGCAACTACAACTTGCCACCTAATTAAAACTTTTTTTAAAAAATAATTTTACTCATTTATACACAGCAGTAAATAAATATATGTATGAAATAGTTGAGAATATTAAAAAGACAATCAGTTTTTATTATAAAAATTAAATATGTTCTCCACAACTTATTATTAAACTAAACCAAAACAATCATACAAATTTCAAAGCCTTTAGGGCCAAGTTAACCCTTTTTTTTTACGGCACAATTGAGAGACTTCGACCCCCGATGGAAGTCCTGTGAACTAATTCATTTATCAGTAAAAGGTCATCCATTGACTTGCATTGTCTCCTTTTCTTTCTTTCCCCTCATTTCTTTTCTTTTACTTTTTTCCTTCTCTCCGCGACAAGCAGCTTCGAGGCTTCCGATGTGGTATCTGCAGCGCCTCCGCTTGCGAGTTTCGCTGCAACTCGTCGTCCCTATGCCTCGATTTCGACTTTCGGATTTCCGCTACCAAAGGCTACTTACTGCAAAAAAAAAAAAAAAAAAAAAAAAAAAAACAAACAAACATCAATTCCAAATACCACAGTTGCTTTTCAAACATGAAATTCGTCGAGGTACTCCGGGAGTTTATATATAGTCACGTCGCTGAAATACCTCCACCAAATCAAAGCTTTTGGGAACTGGGTGAGGCCTGGGTCGACAGCGCCGAGGCGGATTGGGACCATGCCCACGGCAAGCAACTTCGTCCAATGAGCGCAGCAATGCAGGCCCCGAATCCAGCTTGCGCCCATCATGATGACGCTTCCTTACTTCTCACATGACTCGCATCGCCTGCTGACTAGACTCTTCGCCGCGGCAATTCCTGCTTCTCAAGGACTCGCTTTGCGCCCCGTGAATAGTTTGTCAAGTCCTCACTGGCATGCATCCCCACATTTGCTGTACTTGTCCGGTGCTCTGTAGATTCCCCATCTCATCTCATTTGCCGAAGCTGCTCCAGATCCGATTGTAGAGTTAGATTCAATGCGACCATCGCTCGCCCAGGAAGAAAAAGGAAGCCAGGGCTTGCGAAACCTTTCACCAGCGCTCTCCTACTGCAGCTCCCAGCAATCCAGTGGGAAGGAGATGAAGAAAAAGAAATTCGAATGGAATCTTGTGAAGTTTTTCTGCTTTTGAGGACCCGCTACCGCCAGTTGTGTTGAACAAGGCCTGGAGTAGCTATAGCAACTTTACGTCTAGAGAGGGTTGGTTATGGGATCACTAATCCAATGAGAAGTTGAAACACGCACCGAAATGGAATAAAATTATAACAGAAAGAAAAGTAAAGAAAAGAACATCTGTTGTATTTCATATGATTCAAAGTTGGTTGCAGAGGTTATTCTTTTTCTTCCAACAAACTGAAAAAGAAACTTCTGCTGGATGAGCGTTGGATTCATACCTTAACCGTGAATGTCATCTTCGAACGACGAGGAGACTTACGGAACGGATGATGGAGAGCATCTCCACGGTGCGCTGAAATTAGCAATGGTCCTAAATCAAACAAGACAAAACGATGTGTTCATTCACACTTTTTTTGTATTTGTAATCCATTCATGGCTGAAAAGACCCTATCCGAGTTTAATGAGCGAAGAATGTAGTTCGAGGGGTCTTGTTACCTAGTGCTACACATGGTTTTCTACCAGTAGCAAGGATCTAGTGAACTCCGAGGAGCAGCAGGTGAGCAAGTAAGCACGACAAACCCGCGAATCCCATCGCAGCAGCGAGTTCATCGGGGTTTGTCAGAGCGAGGTACAATCGCCTCCTACGATCGGATGGACCAACCTCATCAAGATCGTCTTTATGAGCCTACTCCGCCGTGATGCTACAATGCAGGAACCGCAGCTGCGCCTCTGGGTACTCTTCTGTGGGACCATCTCCTGGCGTCCTCGTCCCCATCATCCATCAGGCGTCAGATAATCCACCACAATCATTCCTCAAAGCTCCTGAGTCTCGTGGTTCCCACTTCAGTCCGTCGGATGGATTGTGCTTGCAACATGGGTATCCCGGTTGTCCACTTTTAGCAGGGGTTCGCATAACAAATCTCTTTCGCTCTGCACACTCTGACCTACTCGACACCCTGTTGCGTGACACTCTGTATGCTTCGGGAAGGAAGGAAGGAAGGAAAGCATAAGCTGGTTGTGGTGAGTCCTCGAGCAGTGCAAATGCCCTTCAACCTTTGTTTGCACTTTGTGTGATCAGGTGTAGGGAACAGAGCATGTGATTGTGCAAATAGGTTCATCTCTCCCTTTGCCACGATTTTTGAGAACAAAGCGAAAGTTGGGGCGCTATGACTTCGTAGAATTGCACTGCTGCACGGGTTCATGAATTGCGTGATTACGAGGAGTTCGCACATAAATTCGGATTATCAGCTGAATTCAACCAGGGATTTTATCTCCAGTCTGTGTATAGAATTGTAGCTTTGTTGTAATGAAGCAACGAAGACGGAATCGCGACCTGACTGCGCGGGGTGCTGGTTAGTTTTCGAGATGACTTGAACGGCTCACGTTTGCTTCCAGGTACTGTAGCATGTGGGGTTGGCAGCATCTGCAGTTGAGAGCATTGCGTGGTTGTCGTAATGGGTTTTAGAGATTTCACTGCGGTTTTAGTGTAAGCGCCCAAGCCTCGAACGACGCGGATTTGCACCAGTGCACCAAAAAAAATTTACTTACTGTTGCGAGGAATTGTTAGCTCCGCCCCGTAGTTAAATGTCGAATTGCTGCTGGTTCGTGAATCTCGATGCCACATCTTTCTGGGCCGTCACTAGCAGCTCAGTCACGGTTGTTTGTGAACCCTGGAAATTACGGTATTCCCATCTTCGGAGGCATCGTATTGATTGTTTCCAAATCCGTTTGTTAAAATCCTCTTTCAACATTGTGAGGTTCTATCTTGGGGGGCATTCCTACAGAGTTGACAGTGCTTTTACACGCTATTGAAATCTTCCATTTTACCTGGAAACCAACTTATGTGCACATTTGCATCTAGTTTACAGTATATCTTAGGTGCCAAGTTCTTCACAAGTAAGATACAGTCCTGCTATTTCCACCACCACAGATGCTTAAATTCTGATTCCAGCCCTTGCTTGCAGACGAGGAGTGTTGTAGCTTTGCAGCGCCAGCTTCGAGAATGAGATTGACGCTCCGTTGATGTAGATTGATCTTTCTGTGTGAGAATCCTTACGACGATTGTGGAAGGGTGGTCAGGATTGAGCATCTAGAAGTTCGATGGAGGGTCTGAATCCTATTTCCTCTGATCTCAAGCCTCAAGAACCCCCTAAATCTCAAGAACCTCCCAGGACTCAAGAACCGCTCAACCCAGTGGGCGCACCTCGGGGCCGAGGGAAGTTCTATGCCATTCCGCGTTCAGAACGCAAATCGATAGAAGTCTTCGGAGGTGCGCCCACGACCACGCGCTATCTACCAGGAGTGGCAGCTAACTTCGGAGTCAGCTCCGCAGTGGCTCCCAAAGAGTCGAAGGGCAAAGCTACGCCGTCTTCCCGCATTGATCCCCCATGGGCAAATCCTAAGTTCGCCCCAGCCGAATTGCCTCCAGCTTGGTTAGCTCCTAAACCGGCTCCAAACTCTCCCCCATTGCGGCCTACCCCTTCTTCGTTGCCTGAAAGCTGGAATAAGCCACCTCATATGCTCGATTCCTTGGAAAAGAGCCCGCCGTGGTCTAAGCCCGATGCCACAAAGCCTTCCGCATCGAAAGCGCTGCTCTCAGGGGAGATGAGTTTAGACATCCCTGCATACAAACCAAAGCGTGTGGTTGGGGGCGAAGAGGCGGCGCCGAAACCAGTTGTGAGGCATCAGCGGAGTTCATCGGATACCATGACGAACACCTTACCTGATCTCCAGGAGGAGAGGCAAAGTGCAATTAACAAGCTAAAGCAGCAGGTAAATCAGTCCGTGATTGATGGTCGAGTCACTGTGTCCACTTTGGTCAGATTGATGCGACCGATTTGAATTTTGGGACTGCTTGAAAACTGATGGGGGGACATTCTTATCATGTCTAATGACGTTTCAGGCAGAAGAAGATTCGAAGAGAGAACTGGCAAAGAAGGCGAGAAATGACGGAGTGAAGTCGCCAGAGAGGAAGGAGATGACCACGACTGTGATGGCAGACCGCGCTGCTGAGTGGGGGCTGGTGCTGAAATCTGATGCTGAGACGGGGAAGACGCAGGGCGTAACAATTCGACGATCGGGTGATAATCGCCGCTCCGGGGACCGAAGGTGACCCCTCTCTCCAACCGCTGAATTGCTAGTCATGTTATCATCTTCTCATCTCCAAACGGAATTATTGATCGAAGATTGAACCCTGATGCCTCGTGGCACCTTTCAAACAGATTTGGTTGACAATTAGAGGTTACGAGGTTGGAGTAATGCTAGACTTTTTTCGCTGAAAGAGTGTGAGAGTGTGATTGATTCCTACGTTGCGTCGAGAGGGATGCTGAATCGTAGTCTAAGTGTTTTGAAGCGATTCCCCTCTGATGTTTGACTTTGGTGTGGTGAACCCGATGAGGCAGATCAAGTGACGGAGAAAATGCCCCTGGCCGCGTATCAATGACGCTGCCTACCGTGCCAGCATCCAGGACATCAGAGACGTCTGATGCAGGCAGCGATACAAGTCACCCTTCGAACTTACCCAAGGTGTCACGGGAGATCAAGGACGCTCTATCGACGTTCCAACAGACGTTTGTTGTGTCGGATGCTACACAGCCCGACTTCCCCATCTTGTATGCAAGCGCTGGTTTCTTCAATATGACCGGGTACACACCCAAGGAGGTTATTGGACGAAACTGGTGCGTCACGATCACATTCCCCCATGAGCGATGCCCATTCTTGCTTCTGTGAAGCAGTTTACAATTACACCCTAGTTCGTGAGCATTACTGAGTAGCTGAGGTTTTAGAGAATCATTGCAAGGCATGAGTATGTGGGCGTGGATTCAGTCGTTTTTTGCAAGGTCCTGGAACCGACCCGGAGGACGTTACCCGAATTCGGGATGCGCTTAAGGAGGGGAGGAGCTTTTGTGGGCGCTTGCTTAATTACAAGAAAGATGGCTCTGCGTTTTGGAATTTGCTCACCATAACACCTATCAAAGATGATGATGGCAAGGTTCTTAAGTTCATCGGGTTAGTTTGTACAGAAAACCCCTCTGCGTTTAACACCCCTAAGTCTGCCAGCAGCTGTAAACTGTATATCTCGCGGAACGTTCTCAACGAAATTGGTATTAAAGTTTCTGTCGATTTAGTTTTCGAAACATTGATGTATCGTCGCTGGTGATCGGCAATGGAGAGCAGAATGCAAGTCGAGGTGAGTAAGCACACGGAGGGCAAGAAGGAGAAGGCGTTGCGTCCAAATGGCCTTCCGGAGTCACTTATCCGATACGACGGTAGGTTCTCATCTCCTCTATCTCTTCCTCGCTGATTGGAGGGTATTATTTCAAGTGTGTAACCAATAATCTGATCCAGCTTTTGTTGGCGTTTCATTGCAGCGAGGCTGCAAGTCAAGGCAACGGAAGCTGTAGGGGACCTCGTGGGAGTATTCAAGAAACCGACAATTCCAACCTCCCCGCGCGACAGCCAACTAAGGAAACCGCTACTGGAAGAGGAAAAGAAATTGGCACAGCAAGACTTTGCCCACGGTTCAAAGGGCGCACATAAACGAGATGCTGCGAGACGGAAATCAACTGGCACAGATTTTGTGAAGCGAAATGAGACAGGGCAGTCCAATGTTCCGGAGGGTATAGCAAATGAGCACTTGGCTCCTGGAAATCCACCGCGGAGGAACCGACGTTCTTCTGGTTTTCTCTCCCTTCTTGGGTACGTGCCTAGATTTCTTTGCTGCAGCGTATCTCAGAATCAAAATGCATCATCGGCGTGGACGTTAGTAGTTGTTTTTCCTCACATGGGTATTGTGCAGGTGGACAAAACCAGAGCCTAAACTAGACCCCGAGTTGGACCCCGAGCTGCGCATGCTGGACTATGAGGAACGGCCGGAGAGCTTCGAAGTGGATGTGGAGAGGAGCAAAGAGATTCGGCGCGGTATCGACCTTGCCACTACCTTGGAACGTATTGCTAAAAACTTTGTCATCACCGATCCTCGCCTTCCAGATAATCCTATTGTAAGTCTTGATTTCTGCCTTCGCTTGTCTGTTTTTGATTGTCGTCTGCTTTAGGTGATTCATCCTTTGGAGTTGATAGCGTGACCGAGGAACTTGCTGTGTGGATATGTTGACAGATTTTTGCCTCCGACGAGTTTCTCGAGTTGACGGAATACACCCGAGAGGAAATTCTGGGCCGGAATTGCCGTTTCTTGCAAGGGCCAGACACAGACCGCGCTGTTGTGGATCAAATTCGAGACGCCATTGCCGCTCGTCGCGATATCACAGTGCAGCTCCTCAATTACACCAAAAGCGGTAAGTGTGATTGTTTTCCTTCAAGGTCAAATGGCTTTCTCGTTACTTTGAAGACCAACTATAGACCATTCTCAAAATAAATGCTTCATCGGATTTTGTTGTCTTGAGGATTTAGCAAGCAGGCCATGCGATCTTTGCTTAGAAGATTGGATGCGGGTTACTTGGGTTTGCAGGAAAGCCATTCTGGAACTTGTTTCATTTGCAGGCCATGCGAGACCATAATGTGAGTTTCAGTTACTTTTTTGTGTTACAGATCCTTCTACGCCTGTATCTGCTATGTGATGGAAACACTAAAATGAATTTATTTATGAACTGGCTCATATCAAGTTATTTGCTGGTGAATTCTGAAAACATGGTGGATCCCTCATCTTCTTCTGGTCGGTGGATATGCAGGGAGAGTTACAGTACTTCATTGGAGTACAGCTTGACGGGAGTGAGTATCTTGAGCCTGAACGACGGCGATTATCCGAGAAAACTGAGAAAGAGGGCGCGAAGGTGGTGCAAGAGACAGCGAATAACATTGACGGTGCAGTGCGGGAGCTTCCCGATGCTAACATGGTATGGATTTCGAATCACCCTTTGCATTTCCTCAGCAATCTCTTGTTCCTTGTGCAGTTATTATCCCCATTTTGCACACAACTTACAGGTTTGTGTGCTGTGAGAGAAAAAGAAACCGGAAGACTTGTGGTCAAAACATTCATTACCAGTGCACCCAAAGCCGCACAGCATAAACTCCCCCTCGTGGGAAGCCATTCGAAAGTTCAGGAAGAGCGGAGTGACTCTGGGCTTGAAGGATTTTCGTCCAATTAAACCTCTCGGTTCTGGAGACACGGGAAGGTGCTCTCATTTTCCTTTCTTTATTCCTCGCAAAGGTTCTGGAATTCGGTTTTTCAAACCTGTGTTTCGATTGTCACTCAATTGACGATTGGAGTTTCTCTGCGCAGTGTACATCTGGTAGAGCTTCGTGGTACTGGATTGGTGTTTGCTATGAAAGCCATGGACAAAAGTGTGATGATGCAACGTAACAAAGTGCACCGAGCTCGAGCAGAAAGGGACATTTTAGCTCTCATGGATCATCCGTTTCTGCCCACTCTTTACGCCACTTTCCAGGTTGATCATCTCTCTTCATTTGGATCATTCCCTTGGTTAATGTCAGCACCAGTATGCAACCAGTTGTAAAACATTTCATTTGTGTAGAGTTCCAAATACTTATGCTCTAGTATGGTTGCTGGCAATCTGCAGACTCAAACGCACATATGCTTGATCAGTGATTTCTGCCTGGGTGGCGAGCTGTTCTTGCTTCTCGAGCGGCAGCCTCGAAAAGTTTTCACCGAGGATGTGGTCCGTTTCTATGCGGCCGAAATAGTCATCGCTCTTGAGTACCTGCACTGCGTTGGTAAGGACTCATATTTCCCACCTTGTACACCGAAAATTAATAGGGTTACTCCAGTTTTAAAAAGCTTGCAATAGTTTTGGCCTTTTGATTTTCTTACGTTGTAAGACGTATTAATGGCTCCGGTTGTGCAGGTGTCGTATACCGGGATCTTAAGCCAGAGAACGTCTTGCTGAAAGAGGATGGGCACATACAGTTGACGGACTTTGATCTATCCTTCTTAACCTCTGCAAAGCCTCTGGTGGGTTCCATCATCCCGTTCCCTGAATTCAAAAGTTGAGGTCTGTTCCAGGGTATCCATTGTGCACATTCAAGGATATGACCTCTGCTCGAAGTTAATCCTAATGGTTTTCACTGGAAATTGTGCAGCTCGTGGAGCCTGATGTGCCACCCAGCCGACGCAAGAAGCCCAAGCGTCCCCCGCCTCCGATCTTCTTCGCAGAACCGGTCACGCCTTCCAACTCTTTCGTTGGTACCGAAGAATATATTGCGCCTGTAAGTCCTGTCACGCTCTCTCAGCCTTCGTTGTCATTCTTGCGCGAAAAGAGGCTTGCGGTATCAGCACAACAAAACTTACTTAATTTCATGATGATTTTCTCTGAATGTTTCTTGTGTAGGAAATTATTACCGGACAAGGTCATAGCAGTGCCGTAGATTGGTGGACTCTAGGTATCTTGATCTATGAGATGCTCTACAGTCGAACACCATTTCGAGGGAAAAACCGGCAGAAGACATTTACAAACGTACTTCAAAAAGACGTCATATTCCCTGCAAGCATTCCTGTAAGCTTACAAGTGAGGCAGTTGATGCGGGGCCTCCTACAACGCAACCCGATGAAGCGGCTAGGCTCAAATCGGGGTGCCAGTGATGTGAAAACCCACCCTTTCTTCAGAGGCATCAGCTGGCCCCTACTGCGCAACATGAAGCCGCCTCCGTTGGAGTCTCCATTGGAGCTCATCTCAGAAGAAGTAGAGTCAATCAAAAGTACACCAGCTGAGGACTTGGAATGGAACGAACATGAGGCAGCTGCTGCAACCACATTTACGTCCGATGTTTTCTAATCTATGTGAGTTGTTAGTTTCAATTTGCCTCTGAATGATTCGCTCAGTATTTCTAATGTGTGGTTTTGTAGGGACCCGGGATTTATCTAATTTGACCTGATGTTATTTGCTTCTGCTTGTGCAGAATGTCATTATTCATTATGCCAGGTAACGCTGTGCACAAGCTAGGAGCTTCACACTCTGTTGCCCACTAATCTTAGTGCGCTGATTTCTCAGCGACTATTACGATCAGAATTGGACATTGTAAAAAAAAAAAAAAAAAAAAAAAAAAAAACAATGGTGTTCAGATATTCTGACCTTCGCAACGTTATGGGCGGAGATCGAGAAACGGAGCGTGTACCTGTGAGGTTCGTTGCCACCCCTCTGGAGCCTATTTTAGAGAATCTTTCGGTGAGCCCAGAGAGCGAAGAGCACCGAGAACCCCACCCATAGGTTTCTTCCCTATTCCTGTAAACACACCTTGTGGGCGGTCAATTGGTGTCGCAGCTCAATCAACCAACTTAACACCCTCATGTTGTGTCCTGCGTGTGCGAAGAATCTGGATTCAGATGAGCTGCTTGCACCATCCACTGCCTAGTCCACACACAGCGCAGCACCGAAAACGCTCCAAACCCCTTTTTTATGTGAATAGAAACAAACAAATATTATTTAAGGAGTTCAATTTGTCGAAATCGACAGGAGAAAGTTTTCTGTACTAGACAAGATGAAGCAGAAGAAACGAAGAATACGATTTGATTTCTTCTTCTCAGCTACAGTTGTTCACTGTGATTGAGATTGTGACTGCGTGATTGTTTGCATTTTTGCTCGATTTTGAACTTTTCCTCTTCATTGTCGTTCATGCCGACTGCTTTGATTCATTTGTGGTTCCACATGTGGGTTATCATTTTGTATTCCTGAAGCATTTGTGAACATAATAGTGGGTCAAGAGCTTTGCTTTAAAGATTACATTTGCATGATTGTAAACTGAATTAGATAAGATTGTCAACTGTTTGGGGATTAGGCAGCAGCTAATTTATTTCATTAGTAGTGATTGAGATCATGTGGGTCGATTTATGAGAGGTTGTATGTGGATTGTGCACACACACACACACACACACATATATATATATATATATATATATATATATCACAACTAATACCACAACGTGGATCTTCTAGAAAAGACCACAATGTCACACTACTAGAACATAATTCTAACCCCAGTTGAACATTGTGCATAAGTTATTTGTGAAGTTCATTAGAAGATGTGACACATCAAGGTGAAGGAGATTTTTTTGTCACATCAAATAAATAAATACTTATATATATAACACAATAAAATATCCTATAAATATATATATATATATATATCACAACAAAACTCTCTCTCTCTCTCTCCATATATATGTATTTATACAATACAATAAAATGGCTTTAAAGTACATCTTTTTATGAACCAAATATTCATAATTATACCACAATAAACACAACTTTTCAGATTTGTAAATTGGAATTTATTCAATTGAATGAAATACATGACATAGTTGGTGAATTGCAATTTTTTTTAATGGTCCTTTTTTAAGTTCATTTAAATTGTTATGTAAGTAGATTTTAATAACCATGAAAGGATACCTACTTTAACAAATTTAAAATCATGTGTGATTTTTTTATAATTTTTCAAAAAATATATACTTTACAAAATTAAATGGTGAGCTAATCAAAGAATTAATAAGTTAATAGAATGTACAATATTTTAGTTTTAAATTAAATATATTCTTCATGTATTAATATAATCATACAAGTGTTTAAGTATTCTATCATTACTTTCTAATTATATTACATAAAGATTATTCAAATTATGTTTATTTTTAAAATTAAATACATATTATAAACAGAAGAAATAAAGAAATAAATACATGAATATTTTTAACAAGTTATGTAGTATTATGTACATTAATATTTAAATAATACATGTCTATATATATATATATATATATATGTGTGTATAAATTTTCAAAGGATTATAAAAATAGAATAAATAATAAAAGAAAAATAATATATATATATATATATATATATATTTATATTGAAAATAAAATTAGGGTGTTTTAGATTCAATTTTAGTAAAGAACTTAATAGAACTAATTCCTACAACATTCTAATTCTACCATGGATTACCATAAAATCATTTTTGAAGAGTTTTGAAGAGTCATTCTTTAAATAACTACTCAAATTGGAAAGTGTTATAGAAATATTTTAGATTTTTTTAAGTATATATATATATATATATATATATTTGTGTGTATGTGTGTGCATACTATGGGAAGCTTGCTTGCCACATAATCAATGGCCTTCATAGGGGTTCTAAGGAAGAATGAGAGTATTATTTTAATCCCTACCTAAGCAAGGAGGAGTAGAAACAAGCGTCCCCAATAACATGGTGTATGCCCTATTTGGTGGATGCTTAAGATATTTTTTGGATAATCTTTAAGGTTTTTCAAGGCTCTAATATTTAGTTTAACAAAGTTGCAATTGGGTGTATATGTTGTTTCATACTTTGATAAAAGCAACTCTTTTGTGTATTTAAATGTCTATTTTCTTAAGAATAACCAACTACAAGGAGATAAAATCAACTTTAGACATATTTTTAGTTACTTTTGTATAAGTCTTAGTATTAATTAAGAATAAAAATACCTTGTCTTTGTTACTAATCTCATCACAAAGAAAACATGTATGTAATGTAAAATACATTTTTATAAATATTATAATGAATAATTCCATCAGATTAAGAATTGCGGTGCTTTTGACTCTGCTGTAAATAAAATAGGCTTTAACCTTAATTAACTTCAAGAGAAGGTCAATGAGACTTCTATGTTATATATATATATATATATATACACTTATTTATAGATTAAATAAAATATTTCAATTTATAGAAAAATTTAATAAATTAACAGAAGATTTCTTTTATTATTGTCTGCTTCTTTGATTCTCTTTGAAGGGTCAATAATCTTTATTCTAAATAATCATTGTTTAACCTCATGTTTACTAATTTTGAATGCATTGTAATTTTGCAATTCTAATACAATATACATTTGTAGAAAGAATTTAATTTTAACTGTTAATAATAATAAAACTTAATATTAGATATTTTAATTATGATATCTATCTTCAAATAATTTCTTTTTAACACAAACATTGATCAAAGTGTTAGTATTTTGTTCTCATATCTTTGCTACTTAGTCTTCCTATCTATCAATAGATTATTTAAAGAATCTTCTATATTATACTTTACCTTCAAATAAAAGTTGATACAAACACTATTATCTCTTGCTCTACAGAGAAAATGTAAATCTTAATGAACAATATAATAATTTTTTAAACCTACTTCTAAACTTCTAAAAAAAATTATTACTTTTCTCCTGAAGGTATGTCATCTCAAGTGATTCAAACTCTACATGAAGAATATCCATGTTCAGAAATTTGGGTCACATGCTTCACCAATCTACAGAACATGAAAACTAAATGGACTTGATCTCCTAATGATCATTTAAAATGATCCATTTAATCAAGTTCTTGAAAGTAATTGCCATCAAGTCAAATATCCAATGCAAAGCCATCATAACCAAATTGAAAATTTCATGGTTTGTGCTATGCATCCATTAATTAAACATTTATCCATGTTTTTTTTAAAAAAACAAACCAAGTTACCTTTTCCCTGCTACAATAGTCTTGGAATTGGGAAACCTTGGAATCTCTCTGTTGAGTCATGGACATGAGAGACTAGAACAGGGCAGCTGCAGAATAGGGTATAAGTTGTTCTTATATATTGAATGATAACTGATAGCTCATTCTGCTTATGTGTATACACACACACACACACACACACATATATATATATATATATATATTCACACCCACATTCAAATTAAGAAGGTCAGTGTGAGCCTTTTAATTTCGGGTTATCTCAGAATCAGCTGTTAAGCCAACAAAACCAAAATAAAACTTTTAGTTTACATACATACGTACATATACACAACTTTAATATACATACATACATACATATTAAATACTTTTTTGGAAAGACTTCACTTATAGTCTTCTTAGTATCTATAATTATATGATATTAATAGATCAAAAGATAATAAAAAATTCTAAAGAAAGTTCTTTAAAAATTTGTAAACTATTACAAATTTTGTTGAAAAGCTTTTATTGAAAGGAAAATTGAATATAATAGATTAACTATAAATGATTAGATATATTTTTTAAAAAATAATGAAATATTTTAAACAAAGTCTATACTTATAAAGAATTAATAATAATTTGGTTTTTATGGTAAAAAATATTGTTGTCACTTCATAGATTTTTATTTTATTTTATTTATTTAATTAAAAATTAATAGACATTATGTGTCATGTATACTAAAGAGTTCAATCTTTATAGATTTTAAAACTATTATGCTGCTTAGGAAGCTTAAAGTTGGTACATTTTTCTTCTTACAATCTTCTTTTAAACCAATTGAGATGTGTTTGACTTTAATTAAAAATTATTATTATTATTATTATTAACCTCTTCCTTATTTTAAAAAATTAAAAAATTAATCCATCTTCATTGAATATGTTTTTTTTATACAACTAAGTTTAAGAAAATAAAAATATGGATCTTCAAGAGAAAGTCGTGAGTAGTAAAAGAGTTGTGCACATAATACAATAGAGTATGGCAAATTGCATTGAATCAAAATGAAAAAATATATCTTAAAAGAATTTTCTTGTAGAAAATATGATCCACTATCAAAATTCCTTTGATTTTGATACTCCAAAAACATTATTTTAAAATATTTTTTGTATAAAAAACTTCACAAATTAATTGATATTCCTCTCCTTGACAAATACTCATGTATTTTGACATCTTGTTGTAGACCAAAAAGTTTTTCTTTCATCACACAAAAGTAGTTGCGAAAAAATGCAACTACATAATATTTTAGTAGCAAAGAAGTTTGCCTGCTTCAGATTTCAAACTCAAAAATGAACAAACAAAAACTCTTAGTCCCCAATGTAAGACCCCGAAGACCGAGAGGTCGGCGTCTCTCGGTCGGGGTTCACGCCGACTGACTTCAAAGTCCGAGTCTCTCCCCGGCCTTCGCTTCGCTGCCCGCGCCAATTTTCTCGCGAGAGGCTTCGACTCACGGCTACATTTCTCCGAAATGTGGATTCTACAGCTCGCACGAGCAAGAGAATCATCGGCAGTAAAGGAATTGAGGATCGCCAGGCATCCCACAATCGAATAAGTGAGCCCATGGTCGAAAGAGATGGAGGGGTGAGAGCCTCAAGGTTGCTCCGTGCGTGGGATGGGTGGGTTGTCGTCGCTGGAAGGGGTAGAATTGCGGCATTCAGTTGTGGGTCCCAAGGTTGCAGGCAGCGCGGAGTGGAGTAAGCTAGGTTTTCGGGGTTGTTGTGCTACCCGTGGGCCAGAAGAAAGGCGCGTTCGACCCGGAAGACCCGAGTGTCACGTCGTCGGAACACCCAATGACCATTTACCACGCCCGACCTCGGCAATGCGTGGCATTGAAAGCGTAAAAAGTCTCTGGTTGTGTAGTCTTTAGCGGCCTAACTTATTTTCCCTTTAGATTTGCAAACTAGGGTACGTTTGAGCGTGCGATCGACGATTTACTGGAGTTCGTGTGAGTTCCGTGGCGTGTTGAGATTGATCGTCAGTGGGTAGTATTAATGGAGTCTTGGAGATATCGCGTGAGGAGGGGTTGGTGACAGGGAATGGTTTGCGGAGATTGTGGAGTTGGGCTACCGATTCTTTGAGTCTTTCTCCAGCGGAGTTAGGTTGTGAAAGTAGTCGCTGGAGTCGTGTATGGAGGCTCTCAAACCTTGTAGAACGAGTTGATTTGTTTTGTTTGGGGTTGCATTAAGACGCTCAGAGCACGAATCTGTTGTGGGTTTGTAAGGAGAGGAGTATTCTTTCTGCGGCTCGACGCGCAATAGTAGTGCAAACAAATCATATGTTTGTCGGTGAATTTCCTGCAAGTTCTCGCTGGATTGAATCAGAGAAGACCGGCTGGGGTTGCCATCGTTGTTAGTAATTTTTTTGAAGGTCCTTGTGCACCTTCAGGGGAATTCTCGGTGGTCTGAAGCATGCTTGGGCAGAATTAACTGAGAGCAAGTTAAGGTTGGTACACGGCCTGTAATTGAGACCTTTGTTAGCTGGTGTCCATCGTATTTAGAGTACATAGTATCTTCCTTACTGTAGATGTTGGAGCTTGGTCTTCCTCTTCACTGCAAATTTTATTTTGTTTCCTGGCTTTTTTCGTGTTGCTTCAGATTTCTACTGATCATGACATCTTCTGAAGTTTTTGACATTTCATGAAAATTGAATTTTAGATGACTTGATTCGGACCTTTTGCAAGATTCGGCTTTCATTGTATTGGACCAAGTATATAAAAGCAGCATATGATTATAATGCACTTAAGAACTGAACGCAAATTTTAGCGATGTGAGCATCTCATAACCGATTAGGTCTGAAGTATATGTCGCTATGATTTTCCTGTCTGCAGCGGAATCATCTTTGTAGTATGTCTGGGCTACAACAAAGAGTGCTGCTCACATGCTGTCACTCTCCTCTATCGTCCAAATTATATTTTAAATAGAATGATTTCACTATGTTGAGTTTTGATTTCTTCGATTATCTTCTGACGCTATTGTTGATACTTATTGCGCAGATTTGAGAACTGAAACATAATCATGAGCATGGAAAAGTCACCGCCTCCACACAATGGCAATTACCCTTCATATTACGCTCCGCCGCGGAAGCATGAGAAGAGTCATTGGCCTATCTTCACCCTCGTGGCTGTGGTGGCAAACATCATTGTCTTTATTGTTGTTATGTATGAAAACAACTGCCCTGCAAAAATTGGCCCTGGTCGGACGTGTGTCTTAGGATCTTCATTCAAAAGGATGTCGTTCCAACCTTGGAGTGAGAACCCTCTACTGGGACCATCTTCCGCTACGCTTGTGAAAATGGGCGGCCTGAGGACGGTTCTGGTTGTAGATCAAAAGGAAGGGTGGAGGCTAATGTCCTGTGTATGGCTTCATGCGGGGGTCTTCCATCTTCTCGTTAACATGATCGCCGTCTTAGTTCTCGGCTTGCCACTTGAGAAGACATTTGGTTTCATCAGAGTAGGTGTACTCTACCTTGCTTCTGGCCTTGGCGGCAGCCTACTCTCCTCTCTGTTCAATCAAAATGGCGTCTCTGTTGGCGCGTCGGGTGCGCTCTTCGGCCTCCTAGGTGGCACAATTTCTGATGTCATCATCAATTGGTCTCTCTACTCAAATTATTGCGGTGTCCTCTTAAATCTTATCATCTTGGCAGCCATTAACCTCGCCATTGGTCTTCTCCCTCTTGTCGACAATTTCGCGCATATTGGAGGCTTTCTTACCGGATTGCTGTTAGGGTGTGTTCTTCTGATGAAGACACAGCATGGCTATGTTCCTCGTCGTGACCTTCTTGACCCCAATATGGAGCGACCAGTGAAGAATCGGTTTAATGCCTTTCAAATCATCCTCTTCATCATCTCCGCTCTCGTTTTAATCGCTGGATTTATTGGTGGGTTCGTGGCTCTTTATAACCGTGTGGACGCTCACAAGAAATGCAGCTGGTGTCACTATCTCAATTGTGTTCCATCCTCTCACTGGACTTGCGATAGTTAAGCAGATTAAAATTGTGCTTCAAGCTGTGGTAGCTTTGGCCTCTTAGAAATTTCCCAGTCACCGACGGGTGGGTGGCAGCTAGTGTGGATGGTGTAGGTTATGTTATGCAACTTTGCAAGTTTGCTAGAATAATCGCATTTAAGAACAACACGTGCGAAGGGGTTGTGGTTGGACTTTTGCGCGGCAAGCAAGGTAGTTCAGATGAAGGGTTGAAGTTGTCCACCGCCAGAGTGAGATGTAATTGCATTTTGAAGAACAGTAGGAAGAACGGAAATGAAGCTCTACACAGAGCTGTACATGAATGGGAATAGACACTACCTCCGCACATCAGCTTAAATTCCATGCCATCGAGAGGCAACACGGATGGTGGGCATCTCCGTCCTTAATGCATTTTTTCTTTGATGTAAACATCTGTACGTCGAGTAATATTAATAACTGAAAAAACCTCGGTTGTCTTTTCATAACTTCCCACAAATTTATAGTTTTGAGACAATGCTACACTCCATGTCTTGAAGCTTTTCTCCAGATGTGCTCTTGAATATGAGACCATTTGTCTACTCAGAGAGAAATAATTTTTTGCTTCTTTTCAGCTCACGTAGCTCTCGCTACAAGCCTGGAACATCATGGACACACAGATTAAATCTTGAGAACCGATTACTTCACTTCCTAGACATACTGTGATCTCCTCAGCTGCATGTAGCAGTAAACACCAAAAATGGATATGAATTGTCGATGGGGAGAATTCAGTATCGAAGTTGTTAAAAGACCATTCTCCTGCTGTCCGGCATGACGGAATAAGTAACAATTTTAGACGTGCCATGTCTCAGTGAGCAAAAATATTTGACATATTTTAAGTGAAACATCTAGACTGCAAGCTCACCGCCTCCCTATGTCGATATTGATCTCTCGTACATCAGTGGTAATACCGTTTCATATTCATCTAGTAGCTTCAATATCTTAACAAAGTATAGTTAATGAGAAGGCCCTATGTTTACCTAAATAATCCGTTAGTTAGTTGTATAGTTATTTTATTTTATTTTATTCTATTTTTCAAAACAATCTTTGCGTTTCACCCCTGTGTCTTCAGTTCTTCATTGACTCACTTCTCAATACCTCTACGTATATGTATGATGCATCATGAATTCTTTTTGTGGAAGATAATATGAAAATGAACTTAACAATAAAATTTTATCGTTTCAAAGTTAAGTAATATTTTTTGTATTCTTTGTGCTTGTTTGTTAATTAACTCATTTTATTTTTTATTTTTTATTGATGCATTTAGAATTTGTTTGTGAAATAAACATATATATATATATATACACACACACACACACATGCATATTTTAAAATGGTATTCTTTATTTTAATGTTTCTGTAAAGTAAAAACTTATTAAATATTTTAAAAATTGTATGTATATGTATTCTTGCAATTTTAAAAATACAGATTGATAAAATTTGATAGTGAAATGTAGAAGATAATGTGTATAAAAAAACTATGTCAAAACAATATAGAACATGAGAAGAAAATATATTTAAGATCATATTTAATTATAATGAGTATATGTCTATGATTGTTTATTATTTGCAAATAATATAAACTTGTATGCTTGTTAAAGAAATCCTACTATTTAAGAATTATTTTTAATAAATATCTTATTTTATAACCACATAAATGACATATAATTTTATTTTATTTATATAATCCTAATTTATATTTGTGCTTTAAAAATAAAATTAATCATGTCATGCATCTTTTGCAGAAGCCTAATTGATAAATATTTTAAAATCTTTCTAATACAAAATTTTCTTTTAGAGCTTAAATAACAAGATTTTAAAGTTTAGACCACAAATTTAAGATCATGTAAATAAAAGTTCATATAAAACTAAGGTAAAGTATATTTCTAGTTTTTTGTACACTTTTCTTATTTCTTGGGTTTATACAATTATTCATTATTTTTAGAATAAAAATTATATTTAATTTTTTGAATGCTAAATTTCTAGAAATTTATAATATTTTTATGTCATTACTAAATAAAATTTATATATTTCAGTAAATAAAAAATAATATATTTACAGGTTATAAATTTTTTTAGAAAAACTTAAAAAGATTATTAACTTCTTATTAAGACTCAATATTTTTAGTAATATAGAATTTTACAATATACAATACTTTAGTCAAATCTACAATCTCTACATATATTCCCTTCTCCTACTCTTTATAGTTTGCATGTATCTTCAAAAGTGAAAGAAGAACATGTTAAACTACAAGGCTTTTAATATTATTTCTTCCATGCATATTTTAAATCCAACTCCTACTAGTACACCTCATTGCTGTTAAAATTATATAGCTTTGATACTAAAAAAGAAAAAATATTTTTAAAAATATTAATTTTAATTGATAAGTACAATAAATAAGAAATAAACCAAAAACTTTATTTACAATTTGATTGGTAAGAAAGGTAATATATATATATATACATACACATACATACATACATACATATAGAAATGGATCTAATAGATATGAATTAATTTTGTAAGAAAAAAAATTAGAAAAACACAATTTAGAATTCCAATTGAAAAAATTGTATAGCAAAAGAGTGTAACATGTATATAGAAAAGCAAGTAAAATGACTTGGAGTATCTATTGGACATTGTATGTATAAAATAAATATTATATATATATTTTGAAATAATTATAATAAAATTAAAATTTTAAAATAAATATATAAATTTTATAATTGATTTAAAAAATAAAAATAAAAATGAAGGGAATTACAAAATATAGTAAGTAATATAGACTGCTATGGCTATTAAATATGAAACAATGAAAAATAATAAAAAAATAAAAATAATCATGTTATTTTACTTATTTTGAAATAAAAATTATATACACATTATTACCATGTTTATTCAATGTGTATATATATATATATATATATATATATATATATATAGTTTTTGAAATTATATGCATAATATTCAAAGGCTTTAACAAAAAAATTTAGTATATCAATAGAATATTCAATAATAAAGTGCATAGTTGTTTGAAGAATAATAACCAAAGTAAATTTAAACAATTTGATTCTAATTTCGTATTTACAAACACATAATTATTATATATTAATGCTTTAAAACCAATATGCATGTATAATACTATTCTAACATGATCTTATATAATAATAAAAATAGTACAAGAGTTTTTTTTATAATGGTAATCTTCACCATATTAAGTAAGTTTACAAGTTAATATAATATATACAACTTCAATAATATTAACTATCTAAAGAAAGCCACTTATACTTTTAATATTACTTACAATCTTATATTACTTTCTTAAATTGATCACATTATTTTTTTTTTATTTTTTTTTATTTTTTTTATTTTTTTAATAAAAAAATTGCAACCATGATGCAATGTATAAATGTCAATTTTTTTACATTATTAAGGTAGAGAGAATTTGCCTCAAGAAAGAGTTGGACTTTTGGCTATTACAAATTGTTCAATTACATCTGAAAATAAGAAAGTACCAAGTTTATGTAATTTTTTTTCTATAAGGGTAGTTATATGAATTCAATACATAAGTCCTAAGTATAAAAATATACCCAAAATGTGATAAAAATATTCTAAAATCTTATATATCCTTAAGAAGAATTATTCTTAAAATTCAACAACTCATATCTCACAATTAGACTACTAAACCAGACTTGAATTTTACATGAAGTACTAATGTACTTTAAACAACTACTAAAACAAATTTCAACTACAAATTCGTAATAAATCTTGAAATATTGCTAAAAACCAAGTAGTAGTTTCAAATCCTTGTTTACATATACTCACATGCAACTTTCTTTATATCTCACAAAATAATCATTTAAATACAAAAAAATTTAATGTATAGCTTTTCAACCTAATAATTTATATTTTTAGAAATTTTGAGCTAAAAAATCATCTAAAAACTCAAAATATGGCTCCAACCATTACTATCAAGAAAACACTTCACTTATTGCCTTTGAATTACTTATGTTGTCTTCAACTTCCTATAATTCTTTCATATAAAATCCAAATATAATAATTCCTTTGTAAAAGACATAGGTCTTAAAATTGCTCTTACAATCGCACCTTTTGATCTCCAAAAGATATTGTACAATTCTTTGTATCCTCAAAAAAACAACAATATGTCTTAAAAGTCCCCTCAACTTCTTATGGCTATATCTTCTTCATCCTAACTTCAAACTCTCTAAATTTTGTATACAAATTGTAGTCCAAATTCTAAACATTATAATCCTTACTTTTGATTCTCAAATTTTTCTTTTAAATTTTCCAAAATCCTTGTTATGGTCGTTAATAACTTGTTAAAAGCCTATTGGGCATAATCTTTGACTAATAAGAATGAAGACCTTCATCCCTTTCTTTCATCTATCCATACCTTTCATTCATCCTTCTTATTAAGCTTTTTAGTAGTTTGGATCTTCATCTTTGAGTTCTAATCTTCTCTTAAAACTTTATACTAAATATCTAAATCCTATATAATTTAAATATTATAATCAAAATAGATAAACTTCAAAATAAATTTTTTTACTGCAACTCTCTTTAAAGTAACATATTAACCACTATAATATACATGAAAACTTATAAATATATTATATATTTTAATTAATTTTTATATACTATAAACAATTTGAGTACAACATCCACCTCTTCCAAATTTGTACATTCTTTGATATGTGCCACGTACTATTCCTTTTCATCATCTTGAGATTTTTTTAAATTACTTATAGATTCTTTTTCTTCATGTTCTTAGTCCAAATATTGAGGTAAGAATTCTTCAAGGTCTTCTATTTTGAACCACTAATATCTTATCTTGAAAGCCTTCACCATCTTTTCTATTATTAGAATTCTAATGATAGTGCCATTTAATTCACATAAGATAAATGTGGCATTGTAAAAATTACCATAGGTACTATAATACTAGGATCCACACATCCAATGTCATCAAGAGTTAAGAAAAATGCTTTATCATATCTAATAAGTATTTTTTGAAACATATTTTCTTCTATTGATGTCAAGAAATCATTCCTTTTAATCTTTAGTTTAGATAATGATTTTTGAGTAAATTAATATCTAATTTTATACCATTCTTTTAAACTTAGCTTCTTAATTATATTTTTGATATATTTTAAAGTATCAGTTGATAATTAGGTAGCTACAAGTTTTACCTTTCTTGTAATAGTTTTATATTTAGCTTGTACTCTAGTCTTATATTTAAATCTATAGCTTGTAGCAAGTCTATTATTTTCTACTATCATTTTTAATTTTTCATAAGTCCCTCTTGAGGATATTTCTATTATAGGGTCTCTATCCATGCTTATAGCTAAATTTTCTAAAACTTTTATGAAGTCATCTTTTAAATCTATTTTTTTCCTATTATTCCAACCATGGCTTCATCATTTGAAACTAAATC